ATTTTATCTGTACTAAGCACTAAATCAGACAGAAAGTCTGAGAATTCACTTAAAAACTCTGAATAAGGAGCAGGTGGACGGTATACAATAACAAACAGAACAGGCTTTTGAGTTTTCCAGTTTGGGTGTGAGAGACTCAGGGTGAGACTTTCAAATGAGTTATAACTATGTTTAGGTCTAGGGTTGATTAATAGGCTTGAGTAGAAGATCGCTGCCACACCTCCACCTTGGCCTGTGTTTCGAGGGATGTGACAGTTACTGTGACTAGGTGGAGTGGATTCATTTAGACTGACATATTCTTCCTGCTGTAACCATGTTTCAGTAAGACACAACTTAGAAATAGGCCTAAAATTACTCAACACAGATTGATCCAGATGTGGCTTTTTTAGTAGCGGTTGCAAAACTGTGTGCATAAATTGACCAGGCACAACACCAGAAGACAAACTACTATTAATAATATCCAAAACCGTGCCTCCTATACAAGGGAAGACTTCCTTAAATAGAGCCGGAGAAACGACAGCTCAAGGGGAGCCAGAAGGCTTGGCCTGGGCAACCACTCCCTCCAAAAAAAGTCAGAGTTACCGGGTCAAAAACATCAAAAGTAGTCAAACAAGGCGTATAGACCGAAGGATCAGGAACTAACCCTACCACAGAGGCCCTTGTAGCAGCAATCCTCTCATTAAAATAAACTAAGAACTTATTACATTGTTCAGCCGTTGCTTCCAGGCAGACAGGCTGTGGGGGATTTAACACAGTCCTGATTGTTCTATATAATACACGTAAATCATGACTATTAGCTACAACAATACTGGACAAATACTCTCGCTTGATAATTGTGCCAACAGTTCTTCAAAATTTGAAGTGAAGCTTGCAGTCCATCCTTCTTCCACCTTCTTTCGGCTCTGCGGCACGTCTGTCTGGCCGCACGAGTTCTAGTGCCAAGCCAGGGTTCCCCCCTAGTCTTAGGCAGCACAGTTTTCATCTGGGCCACAGAGTCCAGTATAAAGCTGCAAGAGGAATGAAACCAAGCGCTAAGCCCCTCCGTATCCCCAGCAGCCTTGTCAGCACATGCAATAGCCTGGTCGAACGCTGTGGCAAACAAACCGGCAGTGGAAGGGTTCAGTGCCCGAGAGCGCTGGGCAGGCGCCCGCAGGGCACCAGCTGCACAAAACAGTTTCACCTCAAAAACAATAGACAAGTGATCAGAAAAACCATTGGTACAAATATTTCAATTAGTCACAGACGCACCATACGAGAGAACAAGGTCCAGCGTGTGTCCCCCCGTTCATGTGTAGGACCAGACACACACCAGTTCAAAAGCATCAATAATAGTTAAAAACTCCCTCACCAGTTGTTTATCAGGGCAGCACACATGTATATTAAAATTACCCAATATAAGAAAACGATCATAAATAGGTCTAACGCCGGCCATAAAATCTGCAAAGTCATTTACAAAGTCCTTGTTATATCTCGGTGGCCTATAAATGACAGCACACAGTACAGGATCCGAGCGACCCACCTCAAGTAAAGTCATTTCAAAACTAGAAAACGTAGGCAGAGATAAAGTGCACTGCCTACAAAAAAAGGTTGCTTTAAAAACACACGCTGTTCCTCCACCACGGCCTGACAAGCGTGGCGAGCTAAAAAACGAACAACCCGCCGGCAATAGGTCCGTAAAAGCACTAAAATCCCCGGCATCCACCCAAGTCTTTGTGAGAAAGAGAAAATCCAAATCCATAGAGTACATCTTATGTTATAAAATACATTTATTGGCCCATACAGTCAGAAATTCAGTAGACTTATGGCGTTCTTCAAGTTCTCCTGCGTGGCATGCACGGCGGAGCTTTGCCAAGCTGCATCTAAGCCAGTGCAGTTCTGTTTAAGAAGTATTGTTTATTCCACATCTTGATCGAGCCACTGAGAAGCAACGCATAACTTGCAGTGTCTGTGTGGTGTTATGTCAGCCCCTCATCAGAAGACCAAGTGAGAGACTCCATTTTCAAATCTTGATGCAACTTAACGTAACTTTTGACGTAACTTTTCAGCTATTCATGTGTCTCGATGAGCCAACTCTGCTGAAGGCGGCATTCACCTCATCCAGGGTTGACCAAACCTAAGTTGTCACGATTAACCCCTGCTATTAGATACTAATGGAAACAGAGGCCAACCCATGTCAGCCCATGCCTGCCCAGCTCCACAAAGTCTAAAGTGGGCTGAACCATGCTGATGGGAAAAAATGCCTTTAAACTGAATGTGAAATAAGTGGTCAGCGAATGTGTTTAATTTAAGATTTCACTCACTCAGATAGAAGCAGATTGTTGAGTCTGTGAAATCTTTGGCACTAAAGTGTTTCTGTCTCTTCCTTCTTTTCTTGTTTTAGCGGAGCGTAAACCGCCCTTGTTCAACATGAACGCCATGAGTGCCTTATATCACATTGCCCAGAATGACTCTCCCACGCTGCAGTCCAACGAGTGGTGAGTTGGATATACCTTCCCAAAAAATACTGTTTTTATTTTATTTGTTTTTGTTTTTTTTTTTGTGCTCCCAACCTTGGAGCAAATCTGGCGAGTTAAGCCAAATATCAAAGTTATTAATCATATCCTTCAGTTCTAAAAGCATAGTCTTTCCAGTATGTTATCAGTTAAACTAACAGTTCTTACCTCAAATGTTAATCTCACAGAAATTTAAAAAATTGTCACACTGTTGTATTTATTAATCTAGAATGAAAATAAAAGCCAATACCTTCAGTCAGCTGTTAATATTAAATCAGATCTGGGCTAATCTGCATGACCTATGATCCCTGCGACTGGCCTTGTGCATGGTCACACTCTAAGTCTCTTATGTAATTACCTGGGAAACCTCTACCAAAAGGAAATAATGGCTAAACACACACACCAGTTCTGCAGGTCTATAAGGTATATTTTACTGTATATCAAAATCACAACAAAGCAGTGTGATTATTCCAGTATTGTGCTAGTAGCTAAAACACCTGCCTCACAACTCATGACTGTGGATTCTAATAGGTTCTCTAGAGACATGAAAAAACAACACTGAAATATTTTCCCAATGTTTGATGCTTCCCTTGCAATTTACCTTTGTGTACTTCATGCATGCTATCACTACTGTGGTATGAAAGTGAAGTGCTAAAGGTCCTGGACATGCAGAGTCATGCAGGTGTTTGTACTTTTCATATGTTGCAAGAATCGCCATCTTCTGCACAGCCAAGATGAGTAGCTCAACGCTGCTCTCTACCTGCCTCAGAGAAGCCTGTGTCTTATGCCCTTCACTAAATAACACTGTTCATTTTTACACATTACAAGGGAGCATGTATCATAAGCTCTGAGAAAGAACACGTTATCAGAAACATGAGATAGGGAGTCTTTGCTACGTGTGACCATGCATGACCGCCTGTTGTAAAATTAGAGTTGATTTCTTGCATCGTGCTGAGGCAAGCGATTGTGTGGGGCAGCGCAGGGTTGTGGTATTTCTGGAGATCTTCCAGCAGCCCAAGGCGTTAGCAATATGCTGCCAGACGAGACTAGTAGAGACATTGGCTCCATAGTGTTATTTCAGTACACAAACACAAGGCCGCACTGTATACGCATTGGCATGACATACAAGTGTGCTCATGGATTTTGGCTAGCCATAAAGAACATTAGCTGTAGAGGGTGAGGTGGGGCCGAGTGGTGAAGAGGTGCCCATGATGACTCTGTAGGTGCATATTGATTATCAGAATCCTAAATAGCATCACAGGCTGGTTTATCATAACGGCCCATAGTGGCAACCTGAGGTTAGCACACAGTGTTTTATATATATACACCTTGTTATCATGGGGATATTTTTAGATTAGATTATAGTTGCTGGCACAGTGCTCCACAATTCCAGTGGCCTATATTTTTATTGCTCTACATATTCTCAGAATCCATATATGTTTTATATACAGTATATGGCTACACTAACAGATTTTATAGGATTGTTCTGGTTTAATTGATAAACGGTACACCTGAAAAATAAAGAACTGACTGACACCAAGTGGTGTAGTGTAGACTGAAGTCCACCTATCATTAGACTGTCACTGCTGTTTCTGCTTAAATAATTTAGATTCAGATATGTTTGACTGAGAAGGTGAATCAGTGACCATCTCATTGTCCTCTTTACCCAGGTCTGACCCCTTCCGGAGCTTTGTCGACTACTGCCTACTGAAAATTCCTCAGGACAGACCGTCATCAGCGGAGCTGCTACGAGTGAGTGGGCTTCCTCTATCATCCTTCCAGCTGTGACATCACTTCCGGTCTCAGTCAGTCCCTAAACCATGTGGATGAGTCACTCTCACCCACCCATTTGTGGCATTTTAAGCATTTATTGATAGATGAGCATAATTCAGGCGAAAGGAAACGAGGGAAGAGAGAAATGGGGAAGGATGTGTTATAAGAATTTTTTTTGTCCGAAAGCTGAAGTTGTCATCACACCATGTTGAATTTTAAGTAAATGCCCAGTTTTGGAGTATCACGGTCATTATCAATCACAGATATACAGTATACACTACATACACCTATAAGTTAATTAATTTTTCTACCGCTTAGTCCCTGAACGGGGTCATGGGGGGGCAGCAATCCCAGCTGGCAATCGGGCAAAGCATCGCAGGGCTAACACATAGATGAACAACCACACACGCACCCCTATGGGCAATTTAGAGACACCATTCAACCTAAGCTGCATGTCTTTGGACTGTGGGAGGAAGCCGGAGTACTCTGAGAGAACCCACGCAAGCACGGGGAGAACATGCAAACTCCACACAGAAAGGTCCTGGGTGGGTTCTCGCTGTGAGGCAACAGTGCGCCACCGTGCTGCCCTACCAATAAGTTAATATAAAAATATTACTATCCCATACAGATACATAAAGTAGTGGATACATATTTGTGTTTTCTTGTTATGTTTTATATAAGGCTCACTGCTAGCTAGCATTAGCTCCCAAACTGAGAGCTGAGCGGCCCTGAGTTCAGGGGGCAGTACATTTTCTTTCTGTCGCTCTTGTCGACAGGATCTCTAGGTCTGCTATGAGTTAGCTACAGTCAGCTAAAGTTATTCATTCTGAATTACTATGGTCTGTAAAGTGAGACATAAATGATTTAACAATGTTTTTAGCCAAACAAAACAAGAATGTATGCCTATAAAACTGTCATGTCATACCCCTCCCTCTCCCTGTCATCTGTGAAATAAATGGCAAACCAGTCTCATAAAACACTTTAAACACACACACACCACACAAACACAATGAATGTACACAATTCAGTTTCTCTCTATACATTAGGAGTTGATCTTTTTGTTTATGTGACCATCGGGTTATCCTATTGGCCCACTAAAGGTTTTATATACTTAGTGATCATCCTTAACAAGTGCAAGAGTTCTAACAGCAGCTTTCACACCTGCCTCACCCTAGGTAGCATGAAGGGAAGGTGTGAGGTTAGGTAGCGGTTAAATAAGAGGCTCTGGGTTGTTATCTGGATAGGATTGATGTTTAGACTGGAATTCATTCTTCTCAGCACCCCTGACCCAAATTCTGTCCGAAAAACCATTAAAGAGGGATAAGTACCAAACAGACTTTGGATCAGTGTTGAAGGGGCTGCTTTATAGTGAAGCCTGGGGGGTTTTGATTAATACCCCACTTTCTCCATCAGACACACACAGAAAATCATTCTTCCTTTCAGTACACATACACACCCACCCACCCCTCCAAGCTCTTTAAAGGGGAAACCAGGTCACTAATCTGGGGCCCTTGAGCTATCAGTGTTCTGCTTCAGGTTAAACACACTCTCTCCCCGTGTACCTCATTCTTAATATTAATAATTATATAAATAATGAAATAACCGCTTAGTGACCTCCTTCATAAGCAAACTGTGGGTTTAAGCAAAAAATACTCAAACAGTTAAGTGTAGGACTGGATGGGTTTGCATGTATTTTATAATCCCTTAAATGAAGTAGCAAATCAAGATAACATGGTGCAGTTTCCAGTTATGTATTTACTGTATAGATATACATAAAAGTGGTTCTAATCTTCTCATCTAGCTCTCAGCATGAAATCAAAGGGAAATTTGTTGAATTATTCCTTTAATACATCAAGCATGGCAAGCTTGTTCTCTTGAGATTGTCAGCTCTGCTTCTGTTTTGGCAGGAGTGTGAGGGACTAAAACAGTGATTAGTGAATAATAATATGTGACAAAATGCTTTTAACATCACAAATTGATTGTGTCTAAGTTGGTAAATCTCTGAGGGTGGATCTGCTGGAAGTGCCACAGTATACTACATGTGCAGGGGAGGAACTGAGGATGCTGTGGAAATGCTATCACTTCTTAACACTAACCTTATAATGAGGAAGAATCTTGGAGGTATGTAACCTCTTGCTGGTTGATGGGACAGAGGTGGCCAACCACCCACGCTCTGGTGTACATTCATCAAAAAAACGGGACAAATCACTCTCATCTCTATTTTCAGCGCATGATGTCATTCCCCAGTGTCCTGACTAACTCATTACACCAGCATCTGTCACATGGAGAGGAAGATGTGCAGCGAGAAGTGCAGCTAGAGCTGGAAATAGACCTTTTATTTATACTGTCATATATACTGTGTGTGTGTGTGTGTGTGTGTATATATATACATATATACACACACGCACGAGCACGTATACATTTTAGTCCAGTACTTTGAGCTTGTGTTCATTGCAACCATTTAAGCACGCAATATTTTATGAATGAGAGTGACTAAGTAGAGGTGTGAATATGTGTGTGGTGGAGTGGGTAGAAGCGTAGGGAGGAGAAGATGTTGCATTTTTATTATATTTTTATCTTGATGTCAGTACAGTGAATCGCTGAACACACACACACACACACCCTCACCCTCACGCTGACCCCTCCCCCAACCCACCAGCCTCACCCATCCAATTCGGCCTGTTACTTATGTAACACATAACAAATAATTACATACTAAATGCATAATGGCCTGACCGCCACCAAATTACACTTCTATAGTGTGTAGACATTTGGGGTTTTATCTAATTTGTGTGACACTGATACTGTTATTAAATGTTGATTCTTCCCTTTTAATAAATATTTCTTTTCAGAAAGGTTATTGTTCATACAGTAAGTCTTCTAGAAGATTCATTACTAGCAAATCATTTTTTCTTTAATATAATTTCACTGAAGCGGTCATTAGCTCAGTGCCAAAGCAAATACAGTAAAAACATTACTGGAATAAAAATGATTAAGAGTATTTATGAAAAGCCATTTTATGGACAATCTTAAACAGATCCCATGTGTTCAGAGTACTACTAGTGGATGTAGTGCTGGGACCAGCTGAGCAGCCTACAGGCGCCCTCTAGTGATAGTCACAGGTGTGATTGATGAAAGCTCGTGCTGGCAATGCAGTCCTGAAGTGTAAACATAGCTGTCCTTTAGATCCTTTTGACCTTATAAAGCCCAGTTTATAAGACCATGAGAGAACAGCAATGTGCCATGTAAAAGCTTTTAATATTCTCCAGTTGAGATGTTACTGAGAAGTAACTAATCTTATATTATTTAAGTTTTCTATATTCAGCAAACACCAGTTTTTCAAGATAATTGTTTGCTATTGTTTTAATGAATGTGTTTATTAAATTTTAATTGTTACATGTAGTCTGTAAAAAATACAACTTTTGACCCAACTTGTTCACCTTCTTCCTCTTTTGTCCAGCATGATTTTGTGCGTAGGGAACGTCCGCCACGCATTCTCATCGACCTCATTCAGAGGACCAAGGATGCGGTGCGGGAGCTGGACAACCTGCAGTATCGCAAGATGAAGAAGATCCTCTACCAGGAGAAACACAACGGGCCCATGGGAGAAAGCCAGGAAGAGGAGGAGGTGAGAGAAAGAGGGAGAGGGAATGAGATAAGGGGAGTTAATTGAACAGAGTTGCAGTGGAAAGGAAACGATAGAGAGATGTCAGGAGGTTAAAGAGGTTCAAAACATGAAACCAGCTGAGCTCCATTTAAATTCTGTATATGTAGATCTGTTTATTTGTTTATGGGTTTTGTGAAAAATCTTTTATACAAAACAGACATTACAAAAACAGCACAAGTTCATGATGTGCAATCACAAGGAACAACTGCAGAAATGAAAAAGTATTGATTAAGCAGAGATGAATAATAGTAGTCAGCTGAAAAGCAATAATCAGGAGTCAGACAGGTATTGAAACCAGATACAGTGCGAAGTGGCCTCCTTAACACCTTTGTTTTTCAGTTTGAATAAGTTCAGAGAGAACATTGAAACACAGTTGATGGTTCTCACACAGAGTCAGCACTTTAACATCACAACAAACTGGAGACTTGCTCCTGCAGCCACTGTAATTTGGCATTGAGATGAAATGTCCCTTAATTGTTCCTTAATTGACCTGGCCTGAGGCAGCATAACAGGAATGGACAGCCAGCAGCCACAGTAGTGTCACCCTACACCATGTGACGCAGTTCAGAGCAGCCACCAGACCGCACTGCAAGAAGATACCACCAAAGGCTTTACTAAGAAAACCTGCAGTCCCAAACCTTGTTTTCTGGTTTCAGGTGAAGATGCATTGCTTGTGAAAAGACTGATTATACCATCCTGATTGACAAGTTATTGCAGACTTAACTGAACTGTCTGCTACATCTAAAAGCTGGGAAATTTGATTCCCTTTATCATGTACACACTGTCAAGTGGATATCTAATCTGAAGACATCTCAGTCACACCAATGTGCATCAACATGATACAAACAATATAATACAGACACATAAACAAATTTCAACAATTGGAGGTTAATGGGCAATTTAGCATGACTTTGACTAATGCTATCCAGAGGTCGAGTGTTTTCCTTGTGTTGAGGTGACTGTTTAATGTTACACTTTGGAGAGGTCTGGGTATATCAGGGTGAAGAATGGGAGTCTGTTCGAATAATTTCATCTGTGCACCACTGCGTGACTCTTGAGTATTTGTTTGTGAAAGTATGTGTTTGAATATGTCTGAATGTTCACTTGCAGGACAGTGAGGCAGCCAGCTGTAAGATGAACAGCCTGGGTAGCAACCACTCCATCCCCAGCACCTCGGTCAGCACAGGTAGCCAGAGCAGCAGCGTGAACAGTATGCAGGAGGTGCTGGATGACAGCTGTTCCGACATGACCATGATGCACCCCCAGGACTACAGCAGCACCCTTGACTCCTCCCCGCACTCCAAGAAGGTAAAGGTTAAGGGTGAAGGTGGGATGGTAGGAGGGAGGTGGAGAATGTTTAGGGTGGTGTGACACATCAAGTCACACATACCAAACCAGAGCTAAAAACTCCCTTTGGCATGCATGTCTGTCCACCAAACGTCATCGATTTTCATTCAGATATTAAAATGTCCATCTGAGAAAATTGTTCTCTTGATTATCGACAAGGTCAACTTTTTACCTTCCCAGTAATTCTGATATTTAAGTTGAGTTGTAGCCTTACTGTAGTAAACACTTTCCCCAAAATGCCAGGTTTCTTTGAATCTTAGTTCTCAGTGAGTGCGTAATCAACAAATACCATGTTACCCGTACCATTGCTTCCTTTCTGAGGTCATAACTCTGCACCTCATAAATGGAAAGGACACACAGGACATTGCAAACATCTTACGGGTTATACTCGCTGTTTAAGTGTGTGTTACCCCCTCCCCCTTTGAAACCATGGAAACAATCGACAGCCATGTGGCAGATTGCTTCAAGTTCATCAACACGGTGAGAACAAAGGCTGTGTACACATGTCGACAAGCAGCACACACTCCCCGTTTACAGCTGCGTCATCCTGCACATACACACATTCAGTACACACAGGTCAACACAATGCCTGACATTCTCATTTAATATCTCATATGACTTCAAAATCTGTGAAGAGAGGGCTGTCACTGCTCAGTCATCGTCTTTCTTCATCTGCTCTTTGTATTTCGACAGTGCATGAATAAGTGTCACTTTATGAACAGACAGCCAATGTGTTGTTTCATGTTTAGGGGCTGAGCTAAGAACAAATGAAAGTGACACACATTGTTTTCAGATGCTGATGAAGTTTGCTCCTCACATGAATCAACTCTTTGGTCCCCAGGCTCCTGAATATGTTCAGTTAGGGGGAACCGAGTGTTGACTTTTCATCACATTTTGCAGTGTTACAGTGGACACAGTTTTAGCAAATGCTGAAACAATTTTTTTTTTTTGAGTTTAGATATTGTCTGACTAAAATCAGTGGGGAATTTAATAATTTAAAACATCAGGAAATGATCATAACGAGTTCTAATACTGTAACACATCTGAGTGAGTTCAAATCCGTGCCAGTATTTTCTTGTATCATTTTAAAAGTGAACAACTTTAATAGCTAACTGTGAGGTTATGTTCCACACAGGACCATCAGTACAGCTGGGACGATGGGATCCATAGGGACCACCGGCCAGAGCCAAGGCCAGCCTCCTCCGACAAGAGCAGCCAGGCCCAAAACTACAAGAACCAAGGCCGCTTTGCCACCATAAAGTCAGCTTCACTGGTAAGATGCACAAAGCCCTTTGGACTTTTCTGCTGAGGAGCTGAAGTATGTAGTATATCCATAGTTGAAGAGTTTCAGAATCTTTAGCATTTGTGGAATATTTACACCATAACAACTGTGTTGCTTAAATGAAAACGACTACCACTTGCAGAAGGTGACCTGTCAGTGACCGTGGAGGACATTGAGTTTGAATGCGACGGAATGTCTCCATGCTGAACAAATGTGGTGTTGTGTATAGAAACAGTTCTAGTTTTCCTTTATAAACTTTCTTCCCTTTGCTTCTTTATTCAGATTTAGTCTTTGTTTTCTGTATTCTCTTGACTTCTTTCTGTTATTTTTCTTCCCATCAGTTCATGTTTTGGTCTTTACTTCGTTCTTGCTCTTTGCCTCTGCTCACTGGTTTTGGCTTTGTCTCTGTTTCTCTGCTGTCTTCCCTCTCATTCACCTCAACTCCTTTGTTTCCACCTCTTGTACTACATGTTGTATTACCACTCCCCTCCCTTCGCCCTCTCCTTTATTTCTCCCTCTCCTGCACTTGACTATACATCATTGTCACATCAGACTCAATATTCTGAGTTAAAGGGGGTGAAATTCTCGCTCCTTCTCTCACTTTCTTTCTGTCTCTTTCTCTCTCTCCCTCCCCGTCTGTTGTCATGGAAACCAGCTCTAGTAACTACTAAGTAGTTGTGGTGTTGTGTGTAAGCATTTGAGTGTGTGTGTTTACCCATTCATGACCCACTGGTTTTAATGTGAGTCCCTTGTGTTGTCAGGTCTTTAACCAAACATCAGAGAACATGAGCAAGGAAGGTGTGTGTGTGTGTGTGTGTGTGTGTGTGTGTGTCCTCATATGGTCCTTGACCGAAACATGAACCACAGTAGAGTACGGCTGTGTGTTTTTGTTGACCACCAGTGTACTTTGTACTGGAGATACATTTTTAAATCTTACAGTCACAGTCTGTCATGACATTGATATGATCTGTATGAGTCCAGCTGAAAGTATCGCATTTCCAGGGTAAACTCATAGTTTGTGGTTTGGAAGTAAAAATATACAAAAAAAAAGGACAGCATAATGTCCATTCTCTGTCAGACACTGCAGGAAATGCTCTCTCAGTATTATCTTCAGAAGTCAAACTTTTTGATTTAACCCCTTGACCACTTAAAACAAAGTGTTGTGTAAAAAAAAAATTGACATGGAGAGAGAGAGAAGGCTATGAAATGCAACAGATTTTCCCCCAGTTAGGAATCATAGTTTTGTGATATGCAGCCCAGCCGTTAGGACACCAGACATCCCATGCTTTTCTTTCTTGTTTAATATGAATATTTTTTAGGTCTGAATATATTTAAAAAACGGTGTAATTTTGCATAGTAGAAAGGTTTCTTTTTGCTTTTTTTTCTTGTTAATACGAAAGCCCATTACTATTACTGTCCCCCCACCACCAGTAGGGACTTATTAACTCATAATTATGCAATATCATCAGAACATTACTAATATTTTACTTATCTCATTATTATTAGAAATTCTTTCATATCCTCTGATCATAATTCTCTCAAGTATAAGTTATAATTAAGAGGAAAAAATGTAATAATGAAAAAAGAAAGCAAATTTAAATTTTTGTAGATTTGAAGCAAAAAAGAAATTTGATTCCATTTTTATCAGAGCACCTCATATTTAGGTTGTGGACCTCGAGTTGAAAACCACTGCTTGATAACCCTCCAGTAGTAACACTCACATCAGCGGCACAGACACACACCTTGCCTATAAAAAGGTTGAAGTAGCATAACTTGGAATGCAAATGGAGTATTATCACAGTGAACCTAACCCATCCTCGTTTTACCCAAAGAGGGTGTTCTGGTGAGATGCCTCACTCATTGTATTAGGGAGTAGGGGTTATATGACAAGCCATTTTAGTTAGTTTAAGGAAAACTGTTATGCACAAAATGGCAAGGTAATTGTATTCCACTCCACATACATGATAACTTTATTTGTGAAATAAACTTTAACATCACTGAAAAATTGTTTGCACAGTACAGAGTGATAATTCTATGATTCCTGTGTTCAAGAAATTTTGGTTCATTGTAAATTCATGTGGATTAAATTCAAACAAAAATACTCTCGTAAACAACTGAGATTGCACATGACATCGGCAGCTCTGTGTAACTGAGGCTGCCTGCACTGAGAAGAGGTGGCATCGTGTAAACCACACTTTCTCTGTTGGGTGATAATGCTGGCCCTGCCCGCCGGCACTGGAAGAGATGACATCATCTGTTTCTTACAAGGTAGACAAAGAGAGAGGGAGAGCGAAGACTGGAGAGAACATTAACAAGAAGAAGGGATTAAAAAGGAGAAAATAAAAAAACATTCTACCAGCATTAGAAACTTCAAAAACACACACGGTGTGTGTGTGTGTGTGTGTGTGTGTGTGTGTGTGCTAATTCCTGAGCGAGCAATTTACATTGTTTAACATTTTCTTATATTTCTAAATGACAATGGAGATCATGGTGATGGAGGGAGATTCAGAGAAATTTAAGGGTGAATGGAATGAAAGATCATGGTCGCAAGAGAAGGTAAAGATGTGGTTCAGGACCCAGACAGCAGATATCAGGAGGATAAGGAGGACAGCTGTGAATGTACAGATAAACAGAGGTAAGACAAAAGAGCAGCACAGATTGAAATCTGGACTGATGCAGGATAAGGGGAGAGAGGATAAAAGAGGGTGATAGGCTTTGTCACTCCGAGGGGGCATGAAGCACTGAGTCCAATTTGATGTAGAGGTGAGAGAGAGAAGAAGAACATGGACAAACAAGAGTGGGATGAAAAACTACCGAGGGAGATGGAAGGAAAGGAATAAGAATGAAGAGAGAAACAGCAGAAATAGATGGATGTTGAAGCGAAAAGGAGGACAAATGTGAGACAAGTAGCGAGCGAGAGTGAGGGCAGGGGGTAATTATAACTGTATGTTAGGTGTAAAAAGGAGGTGTGAGAGGTGACATTGTTGTAAAATTCACCAAAATTCACCTCACCTGCAGCTTGACCTGTTTCCAGCCCTCAGTTGCAACCTGAGAGCCTATGAATTTATCAGCACAGCAACAACAGACTTCGCATTCACATTTAAGATGCATCAAAACATGCACCTTCCCCTTCACACAGCAATTTTTGTAATAGTTAGAGCTTATAACACTTTATTGGTTTCTGCTACTGTATGCAGTTACAGAATATAGCAGGAAACAAATAAAATACTTATTTTAAAGATAAATGTCAAAGGTTGTTTTTAAACCAGATGCACCTCTTTTGAATTAGAATCCCTTCAGAGCTCCCACATTTGTGCATCTACAGGAAAACAGGACAATAAATTAGGGTCTGTAGGGGCTTTGCATTTCCCCTCTTTAGCCAGATGACTTCACCATATGTTACTGCATATTTGTAGCAACATTAGAGCAAATACAGTCATGTCTTCTGTTTACCTGTAAAAGAGTCAGTTCAGGTTTGTAATAAAGAAATAGTCTACAGTCTACTGGAAGAAGAAATACTCTTCATTTATTGTCCAATAAAATATTAGCTCTATAATTAAAGGAGCCACTCACTTGTATCATTGCATTTTTTAATGGCCATGTTATTATGTTAACAAAGTGTTTTTTTTTGTTTTTTTTTGCAATACTGAATTTTTACGAAGACGACTTTGACCTTCCTAAATATGAAACTGGTTCTACTCATTCCTTTATAGTACATTTCTCAAAGTCCACATTAATATCTTTGTTTGCATTTTACTATTTAAAATTCCTTTCAGACTTCTTATAATACTGTGAGCTCAGACTGTCTCTGTGTCAAGTGGACTGCTGCTATTAATTTAATAGAAACAAAAATGCGAGAAGACAAGTGCTGGCCTGGTTATTTCTTATAACAATTAGTCACATGAACCATCAGCAGCACAGCTTTTCTTCAGTCATCAAGAAGATCACATCCTTTGAGTGCAACATTACATTTCCTTAAGCTAAACACCTTGAACTGCAAGATAAGCAAAATAACTAAGTTCAGTCACTAAATTCCTCTCCTTGGCCTGCATGCCCCCTCCTCTCCCAAAGTATGATCTCCTTTCCAGTCTCTGAGCCTTGTGAGTGTGAAAGAAGCCATCACATGACGTGACTTGGCCCTTTGTGGCAGCATGCATGGGGCCAGCAAAGCAAGTGACTAGGACTGGGAACAGCTATTACAGTAGGGTTATTGATTCAGCACAGTTTTAAGGGTGGGCTCAACCTCCATCTATTTGCCTGCCAGCACCACCCCTCCCTTATCCCCCTTTCCCTCTAGATGCTCTTATTTTGCTTCTCATTATTTCCATTTTTCCCCTTCTAACTCTCCCAGTCATTCTCCATCTGCTGTTTCTCCTTTGCAATCACCCCCCAATCTCTCTGCTTGCGCCTCTTTTACACCCCCCCAACGTCTCTCACTCTTTCTCAATGAGGTATTCATGTGACCCACCTGCTGTCCGCCGCTTAGCGTTAGCCCAACTAAAGAGCCGCTCTGTGCTCTTGTTGGCCCGCAGAGTCAGCCTGCCTCATTCACAGTTCACACGCCTGTCTTGGCCACTGTGTGCCCAGGGCGCGAACCAAGGGGGTGGGGGGTGGGGGTGGCCTCAGGGTGTTATCTGAGCTCAGACAAGGTTCTGTCAGGCATAGGATGCTGCACAAAGTTCCTGGATGCTGGTGCATTTGGCTAAAGTTGCCATCATGTTTGGCCTGAGAAGTTCAGGTGGAAGTTATGAGAAAATGCGGAGCGAGTGCTACCTAGATGTGGAGAACCCTTTCTGTCCTCAGGTTGGTGCGCCGGGTGGAGGTTATGCTAAGAAAAAAAACTGATCTATGTTTGTGTTGATTAAATTTTATTATGTAGTTCTTTAATACAGTTTTAATAATGTTTTTCTTGCTTCTTGTTGCTTTAAAACATTTCAGATCCTTTTTGGTTGTATGATCTATGCAGTGACTGTGTTTGTGCGATGGTTAAATAATGGTTGCAATGGTAACTTCATCTAAAGGGATTTCACAGTGGTTTTTTTTTTTTGTTTTTTTATAGGTCAATTTCGCATCACTGGTTGAAACTTTCCTCCTTTACTGATTGTAAAACTGACAACTGGCTGAATAGATTAGTTGACCTGCAATGATTTACAATGTCTTTCTTTTTTTTTAGCTTTTGTTTTTTGTTTTGGAAAAGATAACCTGAATGCATTGATATAGCTTATTTACAATGAACAGGTGATGTGTTGAATCAATCAATTTTATTCACCAAGTATGCAAGCATACAAGGATTATGTCTTGGTATTTGCTCCCAAATACAACAAATTAAGGATACACACAACCCTACACTAGATTGCGGACATCTGTAAATCAGATTAATTTAACAGGAAGAATTAAAACGGGACGTGAGTCACTGCAGTTGACATAAAGTAAGTAATGGTGCCATAAAAAATTATATATAAAATTAAAATGCAACTGAAACAAGATAAATAATCGCCAAGCATGTTACACACACACCCACACGCACACGCACACACACGCACACACACACACACACACACAAGGAATTTGTTTCCGGTAGAGAAATAAAAACTGCTTTAAAAACAATCCATAAAATGACTAAAATAACCAAAAATAAAAGCAGCTCATAGGACCAAGGAATTGTCTTAGAATAAAACAGGAAATATTAAAGTGCCATGGAGTTGCTATTTAGTAGTCTGAGAGCCTCAGGGTATTTGCTATTCTTAAGCTGTTCAGTTTTAAACTTGAGTTGTCTGAACCTTCTCCCAGAGGGTAATTTATGGAAGAGGGGAGGCCACTAGGTGAGTGCTGAGATTGTTTGGAGGCAGCCTGTATTTGAATCCCCTTTAATCTGTTGTTTATGCATTAAAAGGTTTTTGGTATGATCAGAAATCTGATATTGCAGCACTCGCATCTACTAACTTCTTTTTCTTCACAGGTGACCAAGCAGATCCACGAGCATGAGCAGGAGAGCGAGCTACGGGAGCAGATGTCGGGCTACAAACGCATGCGGCGGCAGCACCAGAAGCAGCTTATCGCACTGGAAAACAAGCTGAAGGCTGAAATGGACGAGCACCGGCTCAAGCTGCAGAAGGAGGTTGAGACGCAGGCCAACAATGCCTACATCGAGCTGGAGAAACTGGCAAAGCGCCATGCCGCGCAAACTGAGAAGGAGGTAGGATTTTGACAAGTGAAGGGGTTATAAGGCATGAGTGGATGCATTAAGTACACTAACCCCTCAGTTATTTCACTTATAATCACACCGACCTACATGTGCCATGCCACAGTTGGTTCAGGAACAAGAGGACATGATGTGGGAATTATAGTGATTTTATTGTAGGAAAATTGGTTGAAAATTTTTGTGTTCAGCAGTAAAACCATGAAGCTCTGACTTCAGTCTGAATTTGAATACTAAGGAAAGTTTTCAAGCTGCTGCCACCCAGTGATACACACGATGAAACACGAATGCAGAAGTGGGTCACAGAGTGTCACTCTGAAAAACAAGCTGCATATTTCTATGAACGCACACAGCGTGCCAGGCCAGGCTGGGAGATAGTATATCTGTTCACATAGACCAGTAACAACACACTAAACTCGGTGTCACATGTCACAAGTGAGTGACACGTTGCTTATCTAAACTAACATATTACTAAATGTACATAGTAGCTCACTGGCATAGTCTCTGTTCTGGAAGTAGGTAGCTTTAGCAAATCTAACATTTTTCTAGATACTTTTGTTTTCATTGAATGATCAACAAATCCTACAACAACTAGTGACATCTAACCCAAAGTTCACCTGAACAAACAGCCTATAGCCCAGAATATCTATTTTCATAAACTGTTCATATTGTAATTAAAGAAGCCAACAACATGTTAGCCGACAGGAGATTGAGGGCTGCAGCTAGTGATTATCTTTGTTACCTAAAAATCTCCTGAATGTTTTCCTGATTTATTGCTTTGCCAATAAAGTCTTTAAAATTGTGACAAGTGGCTGTATGTGCTCAAATGGCTTGTTTGTCTGGTATGCATTCCAAAACACAAAGTATTTTCAGTTTACAGTGATAAGAAAAACCTCTCATTGGAGACAACAGGACCACAAAAGTTTGGTATTTTAGCTTGACTGAAATAATTATTCGAGAGCTGTATTTATCCAAGGCCTCCATGCTAACACCCCCCCCCCCCCTTCCCCCCCCCCCCCCCCCCCCCTTCCCCCCCGTTTTCCTACTGTTGCATGTGTCATTACATGAAGACGGCATTGGCAGATGAGAAGAAGTTCCAGCAGCAGATCGTTGCACAGCAGAAGAAGGAGCTCACCACTTTTCTGGATAATCAAAAGAAGCAGTACAAACTCTGCAAGGAGAAGATTAAGGAGGTGTGCCACATTTGTTGCTGTCCTTTTCACTTCTTAGATGAGTTTTCTTGTTCATGTGAATCATGGTCCTGTATGTTGTTTACTCCTGAATAAGCACGCCTCCAAACAAAAATGCACAATCAGTGCCTCCATTGTGGTCTTTAGGAAATTGTGTTGGGTCACTCATCTTACTGACTGTGTACCTACACATGTGTATATGCACATAGATTCATATGCACAGTGTAGCATTTATGTGCTTCCACAACCTTGAAACTGAGTCTTGCGAATATCCTTGTGGATTGGAAGTGTGATACACTGTGTTTTCAGTTAAATAAGTGACCAAAATTAGGTCAGCATGGTTAAAAGAAAGCATTGCTGGCAGGGAGAGATATTTCCCACCAACCGAGGGCTATTACAGAATTAGACACCACAGAGAGCGGGGATCAGGCTCATGTGTTAAGTGCAATAGCGTGAGTTGTAGATTACCTTATAAATCCTGGCAACAGAAAGAGAACTCTTACTGAGGAGGGATAGAGTTGACTGAAATGATCTTTGTTTGAAAGTCATCTGTAGTTTGAGATAAAGGGGGAGTATGCTGCATGCTCACTCTACAAACCCCTGATCATATGGAGGCTTTGTCTTACACATTCAAAACTATGCATACATAGTTCAGAAATCTGCTTGTTTAGACTATATTGGCTTGTCACATAGTCACATATCAACTGGTTTAGAGTAATATTTCAAACTAGATAGTTCCTCATCCTCTCCTCATATTCTACCAGTTAAACTGGTATGAGCAAGAACCAATGACATTTTAGTAACAGATCAATTACCCTAAATGTCAGATAAACTTACTAGTCACAGTTTCAAATTAAGCAATAATTGGGTATGGCCTACACCAGGGGTGGCCAATTCCAGTCCTCGAGGGCCGCTGTGCTGCTTGTTTTCCAACTATCCCTGCCTGACCTGCTGCTGATCACCTGGCGCAGGTGTGTTCAGCCAGTCAGAAGCTGAAAGATACCAATTCACTTTATCTTTCCTCACCCCACTAGTAACCTTAGGTCTGGCTGCCCAATGTCCTCTCATCATCCCTTTGAACTTTCACCCCTTCTCAGGAGATGAATGAGGACCACAGCACACCCAAGAAGGAGAAGCAGGAGCGTCTGTCCAAGCACAAGGAGAACATGCAGCATTCCCAGGCAGAGGAGGAGGCCCATCTCCTGGCCCAGCAGAGGATTTTCTATGAGAGAAACTGCCGTGCCTTCAAGCGCAAAGTCATGACTAAGAGGCACGAGTTGGATCAGGAACAGATTCGAGAGGTGTGGAGGAAGTTCATCCTTAAAAACCTCATGTGCAATTAAATATTTGATAAATGAATAATGGACTTGGGTGTTTATTAAAATTATCAAATGTACAATGCAAGTTCACAAAACCAAGTATCTCCAGTTTGAAAGGTTGGATTTAAGTAAAGCTCATTATCAAACTTATTTGGGATAGTGTGAACTGGCTCAACACAGGATAAACAGCTGTGTCCTTAATAAATACACCCATTGTTCTTTAGGTCTGTTATCTGCTATTAACTGTAAGAAGATTACAGAGTAAAGCAAGGCAACAATGTCATAATCTGGAGGAATTTGTAGTAGGTTCAAAATGCTTCCTGTGAGAAAATACACAAAACAAAGTCATGGATTAGATGGTGAAAAAGAAAGTGTTTAAATGGAAAAAAATTAATATGTTGAAGCTTATTGATTTTTAAGCTGTTGATAGTCAGTGTTCTAAGCCTGAAACAAAGATGAAAATTGATTTCTACAAGTGAAAATGTGACTGTCTCGTTTAAAAACAAGCTGAACAATGTTAATCAATAGCATCTACTGCGAGTTGTCCATGGGTCCTTCTTTTCCCCCTCCCAATTCATCTTTCCTCTCGGATCTCCTAGGAACTGAACAAGAAGAAGGCCCAGAAGGAGATGGAGCACGCCATGCTGATCCGCCATGATGAGTCCACGCAGGAACTGGAGCAGCGGCAGCTGAAGACCCTGCAAAAGCTGCGGATGGACTTGATCCGTCTGCAGCACCAGACAGAGCTGGAGAACCAGATAGAGTACAACAACCGACGTGAGCGTGAACTCCATCGTAAGCACGTGCTGGAGCTGCGGCAGCAGCCCAAGAACCTCAAAGTGAGTCGATACAAAGAAAAGGTTCATTAAAGTGGAAAAATTTTATAGATGTGCCGGTTCTCGTCATAAGGATGTAGATGCTGATGGTGATAACAAAAACCTATTTTTAATGCTTTTGTTTCAGGTCTCTTTTTTTTTTCTTGTCTTTGAAAAGACAAACTAGATTTACCTCTAAGACGGCACAAGCCATGAGTAACATCTTTTATGTTTTGGGTAATTTGATGCAGTGATGCAATATGGATGTAACAAATGAATATGGAAAGAAAGGTGAAAGAACATACAAACTGTCAAGTCTGAATGTCACTTCATCTTCATTTGCCTTTGACAGTAACAAAGACTAGAATTGTGGCTAGTCTAGACCTTTAAACTTTAGCAGCAACATTTTTAAAGAATAACTTTGTTTTTTTTTTTACCTGCTATATTTCCTCTAAAAGTAGGCTTAGCAAGATGACCCAGGTGTATATTCCTGCAGTTAGCTGTAGCCACAATGTTGTATTTGCTTTCCTTCTCACTTGGAGAGAGGTGTCACAAATGATTTGACTAAAATCATGTTTATTCTGAACTCTCTTGGAGGATATACTTTTGCACCGGTGACTCCGTGTAACTCCGGTGACTTTTCATTTCCCCAAATATCTACACTGGAGGTATTAATTAGCAGTAGCTATAGAGTCACCATACCCACTTTTAGGGGAAATACAGCAGGTTAAAAAAAGCTATTTAAGGACTGACACAAAATAAAACAAAAAAGTAGAACAAAAGATTATAAAATACATCTACTCAAACTATTGATGTCCTCTTCTCAGTTTGTTGTCTGTCTCTGTCTTCTCCACCAGGCTTTGGAGCTACAGATCAAGAAGCAGTTCCAGGACACATGTAAGGTGCAGACCAAGCAGTACAAGGCCCTGCGCCACCACCAGATGGAAGTTACGCCTAAGGCTGAGCACAAGACAGTGCTTAAGGCCCTGAAGGATGAACAGACACGGAAGCTGGCTATCCTAGCTGAGCAATATGAGCAGAGCATCAATGAGATGATGGCCTCACAGGCAGTGAGTGCTCAAATGTTAATCAGATTTTTTTTCTCCAGGACAATAATTTGTTATTCTTCAAAATGCAGGAGGCAGCATACATGCCTCTAGTATGTTTAGAAATAAGAAAGGTGTTTGTGGCTTTTCTTTTCACCTGTTGCTTATGACTTCATATTTTTCTCATTGTTTGTCCTTCTCTCATATCTTGTCTTTGTCATATCTTTCCCTTCTTCCTTCTCCTTTCTACTTCACCCTCATTTAAAATCTCTATCATTATCAAATTCATAACCCTGCTCCCTTTTCACTCTTTGTCTTGTCTGTCCCTGTTGCCCTTCCAATCTTTCATCCTTTCATTGCTACCAACTCCTCTTTTCTGTCCTTTATTTCTGTTCCTTCTCTCTTATCTTTCTATCCCTCTGTGCGTCATATTCATGTACCCACTCCCCCCAAAAAACCCCTCTGTCTCTTTGTACCTCCCTCTCCCCTGTTGCGGCACATGGTCGGCTGTGTCAGCTGCGTCTGGACGAAGCCCAGGAAGCTGAGTGCCAGGCCCTGAGGCAGCAGCTGCAGCAGGAGATGGAGCTGCTCAATGCCTACCAGAGCAAGATCAAGATGCAGACTGAGGCGCAGCACGAGCGTGAGCAGCAGAAGCTGGAGCAGAAGGTCTCACTGCGCCGGGCTCACCTGGAACAAAAGGTGCAGTGAAACAAACGCTGTTATCCTTTTAAAGGGGCAGTACATTGGATTTGTTTGTTTCTCTGTAGGATATACTTTACTTTTCTATAGTTGTTATCAAACAATACACACAACTTAAATGAAACACAGCTGAGGAAGAGTTTGTCTACAAATGAAGGAATGAGTTCCCTAAATAATTCAATGCACAGTCCTAGTTAAAAGTAAAAAAAAAAATAAAATAAAATGCTGTTATTGACATGGCTTCCTGATTTAAAGAGAGAGAATTCATTCCTCTCAGGTGTAAAAACAACTTAACACCAGTTTTAAGACACATTCAAGAACAAAGAAAAATGTCACAATAAAATCATAAATTCGAGACATTTAACAAGAATTTACATGACAACAAAATTATCACCAACTTTGCCATAGTAACTTCATCCTGGATAAGAAATCCTGACTCCTTCCTCTAAAACTGATGTTACATTGTTTATGCAAATAAGAATAATCCTTATTTGTTATCTTTTCTCCAGCAGATCTTGCAGCATATCACATACATGAAGTAAAGAAATCTTTTTAAGCTAGAAAGCATGTAGACAATCACAAACACCACAAACACATGGTAATAAGTTAAAATACAAACTGTCCAGCGTTGGTTCATGAGCGCAGTTCAGTGGTTGAGTGAACGGGTCCAGGTCCATATTTGTATCCGCCTCAGAAGGCGGTGCAGTCATGAAAGGCGACGCAGACAGACATTCAGGACTTCTAACAGACACACACACAGATTTCCCTCACCACAGGTGGTGATGACAGTGGCATGCTTTCCTGCAGGGAGCAGGGAGCCATCTCTCTCCCACACGCTTCTAATGGTGGTGAAATCTCAAGCCGACGCTATTGTTCTCTTATTATGACATTTTTGTCATCCTCTGTTTATAACAACATACTCATTACAGTTTGTTATAATTATAGCTTGTTCCCAGTAGGTTGGTGTATGTCTAAATTAGATTGCTCATGCACAAGTCCCTAAAATCACCCCAATGTAAGCTCTTTTTTATTGTTTTTATTTTGTAACTATCAGTTATGAAGCAGTGTTAATTATTACTTCTGCAGCTGTGTTGGAATATGCCATCTACTTTTCATACTTTCTTATAATATATTTTCTTATATTTCCTACATTTTTACATGAATTTGATACAGTTTCGTCAATCTGTGCATCCTCCTTTGGTTCCCAGACACTCCTGGTAGGCACACATCTTTAACATGATTATCCAGGCAGCCTGGTGTGTGTACCAGTGGCATGTGATCAGGTTAGAACAGTGAGTACTCCTCCTTCTAAAGTGACCGACGTCATTGCTACAGTCTAGTAGACAGCACTCCGACAACAAAGAAAGAGATATCTGAAATGGTTTGTATGAGCTGTAGTTGTCTGTCGCCATCTCCTGGCTGTGTCCAGATCTGCACATTGAGCCCGGGATGATGTCATGGTTTTAGAAGCACTATTGTCCTCAGGTTCGGTTCGTGGTCGGAGTCTGGAGTTTTCTGTGCATGCTCAGTAGTCGGCCAGATTGCCGTATTGCGCCATGCAGCTCTTTGTCTGCACTCATGGTTGTGTGTACTGACTTAATGTAGGACTGAAAGATCCTGCAGAGACAAATCCTGCCACGGCCGAGCTTGATACAACTTGGATACACACTTAGACCTGCACATCATAAAATAACGCATGTCAAGTACATCCAGTTACACATGGCACACTATGCCACATCTTTATGGTTATTTAGTGAGGATACAGAGCAGTTACATGGGATGAACAGCTCTGTGGTATAATGAAAGCCAACACAATGGCCCTGCAATAAGTCCAGCATTTGTAAAGGTTACACTGTAACTGTGTCAGTGTTGCTGTACCCTTTTGAGGCTGCAGTCTGTACTGTGATGTATTGAACTGCATTATACTGGAAGTCATTTCTTAGTTAAATATTAGACCTAAAAACTGACCTTCAATCTCAAGATTGCCCTTAAAGGATTTAAAGTTTCTTCAAAGCCCTGATACACAGCCTCTGTCTGTTTGATCTGTTTCCAGTATTGTGTGGGTGTGCACAGACAAAGCTTGACTGACTGTCCTGTTAACTTGTTTCACTTGTTGGAACTTCATTTAACATTATGGCTAATTGGTCAGGGAAACAAAAAGCAGCTCCTGCACACTGACATCATCTAAAACCTAGCATATCTTGTCCTGGCTCCAGCCTGAGCTGAGCTCTGTCAGCCAGAATAATCGCAGCCCTTTGTGTGGGTGTGCAAATAATACATTTGGCTTTAAATGGTTTCTCTTAAATCTTCAGAGATGAAGATAACAGTAAATTAGATTATAATACTTCTGCAGTCCTCTGCTAGGTTAAATGAATGTGACTGAGTTTACACTGTAGCCGTAGCATTGCTGTTCTTTTACCTGTTACTCCATGTGAACCAAGAGGGTTTGACTTGTGAAACACGGGTACAGTGGATCGCTGTGACTGTGGCGCATTCACTGACACCATCAGTGATGTCTGCTCCTCTTGTGCCGTTCCAAAATGTCAGCAAGGAAAAACATTAAGTTACATAGATACTGTTTTGACAGTGTCACTGACATATTTTGAGAATTAATTTATTTTATTTTTGTAACATTGCAATTAACTATATGACCCTAAGAAAGCAAGAATATTTATTATCAAAGTGGTATTTAATTGGACTATATTTTTCAGATGTGTGATTATTTTGGGGACTTAACATATATAATTGTATTTGTTTGTATAGTTTTATGCAAAAGTTTGGGCAAAAAAGAGACTAATACAACACCAGCACACTTTGCTTTGACTGTTTTTCCCCTAAGTTTGTGAAAGTGCACTTACACTATATTGCTCGTCTGGATGCAGCTGCTCGCCCATAGAACTCCATTCCATGAAGCTCTCTACACACTGTTCTTGAGCTAATCTGAAGGCCACATGAAGTTTGGAGGTCTGTAGCTATTGACTCTGCAGAAAGTTGGCGACCTCTGTGCACTATGCGTCTCAGCATCCGCTGACCCCACTCTGTGATTTTACGTGGCCTACCACTTTGTGGCTGAGTTGCTGTTGTTCCCAATCGCTTCCACTTTGTTATAATACCACTAACAGTTGACTGTTGAATATTTAGTAGTGAGGACATTTCACGACTGGACTTATTGCACAGGTGGCATCCTATCACGGTACCACAGTGGAGTTTGTACAAATGTTTGTAGAAGCAGTCTGCATGCCTAGGTGCTTGGTTATATACATCTGTATCCCATGTTCCTCTGTGCAGATTGAAGAGGAGCTGGTTTCCCTTCAGAAGGAGCGAACTGACCGAATCAAACACCTCCTGGAGCGGCAGGAGCGGGAGACCGATGGATTCGACATGGAGAGCATGCGGCTGGGCTTCAACAACCTGGGCACCTTGGACTTTCCCAAGGACGACTACAGATGAGGGGCTGCTGTCGCTGCTGTTGATCCCCGGGCGTCCGACTGCCTCAGAACAACCTCTCCACTCTCTTTACCTGACCTGACTGTGCAGGTGTTCACTGCTGCTGCTGACACCCACACTCAGACACACAGACCCATAATAGATGGCTCCAGAATCAGCTCCAGAGTTTTCTGGGCCAGTCATACAGAATCGGTGGCAGGTTCGAGTGCCCCCTGAAACAAACCTAAAATTCCTCCCCCTCCTTGCCTCTCATTGTGTCACAAGATGACAAAAAGTGCTGGATAACTTCCTGTAGTTGTCTTGTTTTTGTAAGAATAATGAACATAGTCACAGTGTTTCTTGTGCATTGATGACACTTTTGATGACTAAAAGTGGAAAATGAGAGAAGGAGGGAGAGAAAAACGAGGGCAGTTCAATGAGCAAAGTCACTCCACAACCATGCATTTTTAGAGGCCATTCATTTTTTCCTTAGCTTGTTCTTTGGTCTCCAGCAGTGCAAAAAAATTCCTAAAGCGATAAATCAAACAGCAGATTCTTTCTTAGCCATTCGTCTGTCTGTGCTGCTTCTCGCAGCAGGTTTTGGTATTTATTCATCAAGAGATTTTTATGACAAATTTGATACTTTGAGTGAGAAATATCATGATGTACATACAGGTACACTTCTAGTAAATGTGACTCCTTCAGGTGATTTACTGAGGGAGGGTTGAATCCTGGTACTCAATGGATGTATTGTACTGGTCTCTGCACTGGCAGCCAATGTGAATAATGATACATGTGACACATGAACTCCAGCTAGCACAAAGGGCTCTGTGGGGGTGGGTAGGCGAGGGCTTATACTTTGTGTACAGAAGGATTTATGGAGAGCTTTTACTTATTTTCATATTGTATTTTAATTGTCACTCAAATCAAAAAGAGTTTTTAAAGGCGCCTTTTCCCTCCCCCCTCCTCAGATAACAGTCAACGTTCAGTCATTTCTGTGTGACTTTTTTTTTTTTTTCTTGCTTTACACAGCTCTCAAGCTGTGTATTTTCTTACCAACCAGACCAGTATGATGCTTTATTATTGCATGCACTTTAATTTTTTCCAGGTTAAAAGCATGAACCTGTCAGAGCTTTTAATTATATTTGTAAATAAAGTGCTCACACAAACCAAGGATGAGTTGGTGTCATATTCACTGTGTAGAACAGTAAAAGCAGGTGAGACTGATACATTTCAACTGTGTGGAAGGTCATTGTTTTACTTTTACAGGCTTTGACCTTTGAAGTGAAAACATGATTGGCCAACATTTCATTTTTTACTGCAGCAGGAGCTGGAGTAACTTGTGTGAGATATTCTGATACTAAAACGCTTCCTAGAGCTACTGTATTGTCTTTCAGTGATTTAATTTGTAGTAGAAATAACAGTAGTATACATTACAATTAATGAAGTGAGAATAAAATGTCAAGTCAGCCCAATTATCAGGCTATTACATGTGACAGGTTCCCATCTCACATTGCAGGATTGGTCCAAAACACAACTCTTGTTAGCAAGAACAAAGGTTGCTAAAGTTCTGTTGGATAAAACTGAGGATCGCCAGGGTCGTATAAATAATCTGTCAAGTATTTTGAACACTAAAACTATAATTGTTTTAGTATGTAACTGCTCTGAAACAATTTTCTAATTTAAATTTTTGCTTTCTTCCCAAGAATCAGCAACGATATTTTCTGGGAAACTGAAAGTATGACCCGTTGAGCAGGGACATTCTGGGACCAGGAAATGCAGAGAGTCAAAATGTCCTGTAATGTATCCTGTACCTGCTCACACCTTTGGCAGTAAGTGAACTGCAACTGAGGTGCCAACTGCGACCCAAAGGTCAAATAAACTTCAAATTATTCCTCACATTTATGATAAATTATCATCATACTTCATGATTAATACAAAGGTGTTACAGAGGATCCATGTTGGTTGAACATAAAGAATAATCAGCTACAACAGGAAAACATGACTGCAAACAACACTGTTTCACTGTTTTATCAGATTTATTGTAGATGAATTACAGGTGATGCCACTGAGAGGAGCTGTTACTTCTGTCAAAGCATAGGTAGGCAACAGTTGCAAGAAAAGAAAAGAAAACAGTATTCAGTGGCACACTCACACAAATGCTGGGAATTTCCTATAGGTCAGCAGCCTCCATAGAAATTCCTAGCACTGGATGCTCTAGAGTCGGGTCTCTATTTATTTTCCAGACAGCTGCTCATACAGTTTGGGGACGTAGTTGTCCCACTCGGCCTGGTAGCAGGTTCCCGCCAACGGAGCTCCCAGGTTGTATTTCTTCCTGAAGCTCTGGATCTTGAATTTTCCACGGCCGTCTCCGCAGTAATTGGTGAGGATGGGCTCGGAGCAAGACAGACTACCTGGTTGCTCGTACACCAGCCACACATACCTGTGGAGACCTGAAGGGGGCAAAGACGGATGATTTTAAATGTTGCACTACTAGAAAACAGCCTCTTGAAACTCTAAATTATTGAGACCGAGTAACTATAGATACTGTTTAATATTAACAGTAGCCAAAAGTTCAACTATGCTGGAGCAGAAGCAGACTGATGAAGCCTGCTGGATGAAATTTCTTCAGTCCTGTGAATAGATTCAGTTTATCTTGACATATGCTGCATGTATTCTCACAAACAGGTTGGTTTCATCAAAATGAATATGAAAAAGTTCCTGAAAGAAAATCTCTAACCTTGACTGGTGCTTTCAATAACTTTCAGTCTCTTACCTGTGCCCTGGGGTGGACCAGAGCCCACGTAGTCTGACAAGACCCACCCAGAGGACACATCATTTCCTTTCATGTTGACCACCAGAAAGTGGTGCCATTCCCTTCAGTCAAAGACAAAAACTATTAGAATGAAATTATAGATTTTATCTTGTTAAAACCCTATGAAGTCATGTCACTTTAAAGAGTTTTATTAAAGTTTAATTAACCAATTCTAAATAGCATTGAGACTGAAATGTTATATTGGTAGAAGGATGTTGGAGATGGAGCTGCCAGGCAAGAGGTCAAGAGGAAGGCCAAAGAGGAGATTTATGGATGTGCTAAAAGAGGACATGAAGTTAACTGGGGTGAGAGTAGAGGATGCCGAGGATAGAGTTAGGTGCAAACAGATGATTCGCAGTGGCGACCCCTAACGGGAACAGCCGAAAGATGAAGAAGATTGAGACTGAAATGTGGGCAGCTGCCTCAGGCCTCCAAGTCTCTGTGACCACAAGACTTGGCCGACAACAGATATGTTAAAAGAAAAGCAGCAAATTACCACGTGAGAAGTTTAACCAGAGAGTGCTTGGATTTGCAGCTTTTAGTGAATATTCACAGTCTGCCAAAATGATCCTAGAAGTTTTGAGGACTTTTATCTCACTGCTTAGACACTGATGTTTCAACTTTTCTAGAGGAAAGTATGCCCGCCTCATTTGTTGCAGCACTCAGAGGTTAGTCTTGGGAAGACTGATGTAAAGGGATACAACAGTGAGAATCCACGTTCTGCCAGAGCTGTCCTAAAACTACTATATGCATGTTGTTTCCTTGTGCAGCCCTGTAACTGTTGATTTTAATGTATACTTAATGTTATAATCTCATCTGCATTCTAATGTTCTGTGTATGCATTTTAATGTTTTATCTATTTGTGTGAAATGTGTTAAGCACTTTGAACTTTCTTATTGTACAAAAATGTGAAACAGACTTGCCTTGCCTAGTGCAGTGACCTGTCTCTATCAAAACAAACCTACTTTCAGTTTCCACCATGACTTGCATTTTTTTTATTTGTCTCATATATTTATGTATTTGACCTGGAATTTTATTCCACCTGTATTTAGGGTTTTTCCTGCTGGGAGCGTCGGGATCGGTCATGGCCAGCGTGTACAGTTTACTGGAGTCACATCCTTCCCACTCGATGGAAGTGGGTCGATTCTGCACCTGCAGATCAGAAAGCAAAAGCCAAGTGAGTCAACATTACGTTTACATGGATACTCGCCCGAGTTTTTGCAGCTATGTGGCCCTTTAGGGGGCGCTATTCGCCCTGTTAACGTCTGCAGACATGCTGGAGGCATTATGTAAGACAAATCATTTTTGGCAAGCGTTTACAAGCAGACTGATTCACAGATAATCTACGACAATGCATGTTTACTGAGAGAAACTGTGTCTGAATGATGTTCGTAATGTAGCTTTTAAGACAGCGCCCAGAAACTGCGCTAAGTTAGATAGGTTGTTAGCTTAGCTAGCCGACGAACCTGTGTTGGCGTGAGGGTTTTGCCCAGCTCGTCAATTTCCACAGAGCCGTATTTAATAGTTAGAGGCTGTGCAGGCTTTTCCTCGACCTCCTGCAGGGCAAGAGACTTGGTCCACTGGCTCAAATCTACGGGCATTTTGACTCAGTCTGTTTGCAGACACTGCTGCGTGTGACGTTACTACGCCACAGAACCTGCCAAAAGTGCTGCGTTCACAAACCGCCAGAATATATACAATCTTGTGAGGGCTTTTAACACACTCATTAGGTTTAACAGTGTAAATCCAAAGTATCGTTATTCGTAAGTTTGAAATGAGTCTCATACGTACTGCAGTAGATATTTATCATGTTTTGTAAGTGCTTACACACCATAGTTTTAATGTAGCCTAAATTCCCAGGGGTTGTTGGAACTGGTAGACAATTACCATGTTTTTGCCTACTTCGAGGAATGATATATTCCTCATTCATTTGCGACTATAACGTTGATATATGTGTACATTCCTTTGTTGATATATGTGGACATTGCTTTGTCATTATTACGTCGCATCCGGTGGGAGGAAAGTTAATTTGCGGCCGCTTTTGTATTTATTACTGAGATGAAATGATTGATCCCAATATTCTAACATACCTTTGAATGTTACACTCAGTACTGGCTGCAGATAGTCGATAGAGGGCGCCGTCTCCTCATTGTCACATGGATTATGGTTTGCCAAAATGTCCGTCAATCAGATCACACGCACCCCGAACTCGTCCCTCTTCTAGCTCACAGCTCCATTAACACACTTTCTGTTTCCAGATATCCCGTTTTTAGTAACTGGGCTCTGGCTATGGCAGAATTGTTTAACCGACTTTATAACTCTCTCTTATATCTCTCCAACTACTGGGTTAAAGTACAAGCATATCATTAGACTTTCCAACTGGGTGTCTTCTTATCCAACAGTGGGAACTTTCTGGGAACAACAAGAACCTTTTATTTCTCCTTAAACCTCTCACAGCCCCTCAGATCTATGTTGTGAGCCGTTGGAAGGGACCTGACCCCAGGTTTAGAGCCATATTAAAGTCAATATTGGGCAGCTAGTGCAGTAATATGTTATGTACCTATTAATGCATCAGTAGACACATTAACAATCTAATAATGTCATATAGCCTACACTGTACCTAATAATAGGTGTTGATGAGGTTAATTCTTTGACTCACATACTTTTAGGCTACTTATATTAAGTTGCTACATTTTGATGATAATTTTATTAAGACTTATGTTAACTTAAACATATTGCTGTACCGACTGGAGGTCACTCTAAAATTTCATTGTATGTGTTACAGTGACAATAAAGGATTATCTTATCATATCTATTACTTAGTTGTGGGCCTAATTGATTATAATTAGATTGAGATGCTAATAGAATCTGAATGTCTGTTCCACCACTGTACAGTACCATTGTTACCTGCACTGTTACATCTCAACTGTTAAAAAAAAACAAAAAAAAAAAACACACAGCTTACCATAACATTAGTAAAACGGTGTTACTGTGTCTTTAACCAGGTGAGGTCAGGGTGTGGTTTATTCGTGCCAGTGTTTCCGGATCAGTGTGCGCTAATAAACAATGCACGTTGACTAAATCCCTCGCAGAGAGCGAGGTCGAGTCACGTCGGACTGGTCACCCCTGCTGACACTGTAGTGTTTATAATGGGCGGACTGGTCTCCAGTGTGCTGCTGTGCGTGACAGACAGGCTCCCACGGGTGGACTAGTCGGACTGGTTTGGACTGGAAGCCTTGTATAGGAAAGTTATGATGGAGATAGTTATAACTGTAGCGCTTCTACTATTGTGTTTATCTGCGACAGGTGAGTTTATTTGAACATGGCAGGTAACACAGGTGAGTGCGGAAATCCAACTTACCTTGTTTCTTGTCTCCCCCTTTTTATTAAAGAGGCAGTTAGTGAAAGTGAGTTTTCCGAAACGACCCTGTCAGCCGCGCCGGGCGACATCGCTCAACTTCCGTGTTACACTCTCGGTAATGTAACACCATCTTTAACGACGTGGACGAAAAACGGACAAGAAGTCATACGAGGTGGCGGCTCATCCCCGAGCTACGCTCCCGCGGGAGATCGCTTCACGGTGCTGTATGATGGGAGTCTGAGCATCAAGGAGGTGATACCTGGAGACGAGGGCAGCTACCTGTGCAACTCCAGGCTGCCAGGCAACAACACCTTTCAGACACGTGTCCTGCTTCAAGTCACCAGTAAGTTGATTCTTGTACGTCCAGTATGAATGGTGGGTGTTTCTTTGTTCGCTAATTCACTGAAGCAGCATGTGTAGAAAACACAAACTGATTCATTTACAAAACAAGCAATATAGTCATTTGGAAACATGGTGGTGGAGGATGTAGGGGAGACTGGGACCAAACGCAACACTTTTACTTTGATACCATGTCAGAGTTACAGGAATGAGAATGCTTGATATCAGAAGTTGGCATGTTTCCTATAGAACTTACAACTTTATTTTTTATGCCAGATGTCACATCTGACAGAATAGGTGGGGCCAAAAAAGGAAATCTGTTATTAAAACTATGTTATTAGGTGGATGAAATATAGAGCTCACTAGCTCTCTGTGTTACACTGCTGGGAGCTCATTGGAGCCTTCTGTTATCAGTACTCTCTTTGCAAATGCTCTTCCTGCAGTGGAGCATAATGGTGCATGGTCAAAATGTGAAATAAGAAAAACACACTATTGTGATAAAATACCAATTACAGTAAAAGGATAGACTAAGTAATACAGACAAATTAATTGTCTACCAGGCATCAGGGTGGAATGGCAAAACTGTTAATCCTCATGCAGCTAATTTGGTCCTTTAAAGTTCCTTTAAGTTATCTTGAATAGTGTGGTATTTAGTTTTGAAATGATCATTTGATCGGTGTTGGCTGAGTGTTGATCATGTGATTGCAGTTACATGAGGTACAGGTGCGTCGGGGGCCCCTAAGGGCCCCATAAGGTTTATTTTAAGGTTTAAGGTTTATTTTATGTGTGTTCCTACATTGTTATTGGTGTCATTTGTTGTATTTTTGCTCTGTGTCCACACTTTAATCACTGTTAAAACTTAGATATTACCACTGAATGTGATCAGGCTGTAAACGATGCTGGTGCGCCGCTCCCCAGTGGACATGCTGGACACTTCCAAGTGATAATTGCTTTGAAAATGAAACCAAAATCTCTGTAATTCCATTAACAATTTTCAGCAAAGTGATTTCTAATCGAATTAGTTTTCAAATTCGAGTTTCCCGTATTAATGTCAAATTAAATGTTCTGACTCGACGTCTGTTACATCAGGTTACCGCCAGCTGCTGCTGTATCACTGTGCACTGCCTCATCAGCAAGCATCGTATAAAGATTACTTCTCATTTAGTAAAGATTTCAAACATTAACTCGAACGACGACAAGTCACTCTACTTTACATGTAACGAGACTGTATAACTGTAAGTTCTTCTGTATTTTTAGAGCTGCCAAGAAAATTTAGTTGTAGCATCTACAGTGACAATAAATCTTATTTTATGTTAACACACTGCAAATATTTCTTTCAGATGGTCCAGAAAATGTATCTGTGTCCATTGGTCCTGCCACTGCCCTGTCCAACGGGACGCTCATTACCTATCGCGGCTCGAACGTGTCCTTTAACTGCTCTGGTTCCTCGTACCCCTCTCAGCAGCTGACCTGGGCCTTCAGGGGGGACTCGTCCAGCAACGACTCGCTGGTTTCAACCTCTGGATCCTGGCTGGACTTCAGGATAGAAGACATTCAGCCCAGTGCGCAGGGAGTTTATAGCTGCATAGCCAACAACACGGTTTCTCATCAGGAGGTGAATAAGAGCGCACAGCTGTTAGTATACTGTAAGTAGTAGAATACCTGAAATACTCTGTTGTAGAAAAACTGTGTGATAATGCCACAGAAATGAGTTTTGTAGGACTATGTATGTATTTGTTATGTGCATCATGCATTATACAGTGATGCATAAAGCAACACTTCATTTCAAATGTTTCACTGCTGGTGAGAGACATAAAGCAACACTTTATTTCAAATGTTTCACTGCTGGTGAGAGTACAAAACCTGATATTTGGCAAAACACATCTTTAGTGCATCAGTGTTTGATGTCATCTTAACACAAGCAGCTGCACAACAACAAAATCTAGACCAAAAATCAATAAACAAGACTAAGAATTCATCAGTCAGATGTATTTTTAAATTACATTTTGTTAGAAAACCAAGTGAAAGTATGAAAGCTGTTGTTCTTTAAAAAGATTCACATTACCACAGTCCTTAGTTCTAATTCAGTTCCTTCCAAAACAAACAATGAAAATGCCTCTGAGTTTGCAAGATTGCAAAAAGGAAACAAAATAATAAACAAGAACATTTTGTATACAGACAACAACCCTAACTCCATAAAATACAGAAGTTTTCAACCCCACCCTGACCCTCAAAAAGGTGGAAAAACACAGAAAATATGATGAAAAACATTCTGGTATTTGTTACGTTATTAATGATGTAACCAACGGTAAGGCTTCATTATTTGAATTCTGTATTTGATGTAACCCTGTAGCTGCTGTCGTTGTCAGGTAATCCAGCTGCAGTAGTGACAGCGAGGTGCTCACTCTCCTGGCTGCTGTATAAACTATAAACTATTTTCTTCTTAACTAAAGAATTGCTATCTTTTTTTTGCCAGTACTCAATTGAGACACATTTTGATCAGATTTCAAAAAAAGTTTCCAGTTTATTACCCAGCTCTAGTTTAAAAAAAAAAAAAACTGTACCAAGGTCTGATCCAAAAGGGGGGGAGCTGCGTTAAACCACCACAAAGACCAAAAAAGGAAACTGATTGTATTATTGTTGGTTTCCAGTGCAGTCATTAATAGAGTATGTGAGCCGCACTCTGAGGCTCTTCATCAAAAAAGCCACATTCAATCTCCTTTGACTTAATCTTGTAATAAAACGGTTTACTGAGTGTGACCAGTTAATCCATAAAGAGGCTTGTGGTCTACCTTTCAACAGTAGCGCACAGTGAATGAAATGCACAGGTGTAATCTCTGGGGAGGCAGTAATAAGTAGGTAAGCAGATAGTGGGGAAAAGAGGAGTCATTATTTAGTAACAGCTGAGGCCAAGGCTAGTGAAAATTGAGAATGTGAAGTGAAGCAAGCAGAAGGTGAAGAAGATTCATCTCTGTAAGAACAACTCATCAGCTAGACAAAGTCACTGTGATGTTAGAATAACTTCATATGTGTGGCCTCTGTTAAATTAAATCATTAAACTGCAGTGTGAGGAGGGGGTGGTCATTTGCGGTCACTGGGCTTCCTGGATTCTCACCACAGCATTTTCTGTTTTTGCTGACTGCCTTTTTCCAGTTACTCCGACTTTTCTACAGGACTGCAAGCTCCAGCCTTTTGCCTGTTGATTTCCACTTTTCACCTTGTATGTAACTTCATTAACACATTAACTGTGAAGGTGCTGCCTGCAAAATATGAGGCACCATTTGCACCGGTCTCACCATCCTTCTCTGGACATAGAGATGATGACCCTACACAATCTGGATATTTAAATGACTGCAAAGTGCACAGTGTCTTTCTGTAGTTTTTGTTACTAATGAGTTTTTTTTTGTCCTGTCTAGACATCCCAGACAAACACCCTGAGTGTATGTGGGTGGCAGCACAGTACCCCTCCCACATCCAGTTTAACTGCAGCTGGTTTGGTGCGTATCCCACCCCAACGCTGCACTGGGAGCAAGACCAGGATGATCAGGGATCTAGCTGGAAAGCACATGTCTATCCATCGGAAGTGACGGACAACCTGTCGCTCCCTGCTGTCCACTGGGCGAACTGTGAGGTGCATGGCCCAGCACCCGGCGATCGCCCTGGGAAAGGAGAAGTCGTGTTTGTTAACCCTCAGTAAGCATGTTGTGGTGATAGAGCCTCATAACAATCCTGAGATGTGCAGCTGTCGAATCTTTTATGTACCAGAGCCACACTGAGACTTGGCACTATAGAAGGATTGTGGCTATTGCTTACTCACGCTCAGTATTCTTAGTTCTGGCATTGCTTTAATTTAAAGCATTGGTTCACTTCTATTTTTCTCAGTTACCACTGGTCGAGCATAACCTTGCAGATAGTTTTGGTTTTGTTTGTTCAGGTTTTGAGATAGTTGTCACTGACCTTTCTACCTCTGAACCAGTATAGTCTTGCTCACATGATCGAAAAAAAAATAGCATTTTAAAAATTTGTATCAGACACAGCAGCAGCATCTCTCTCTCTAAACAAATAATCCATAGACTTTGTTCATATGTTTGTGGAGTAACAGGGACACTTTCACAGTGGATGTACTGTAACTGCTGAGGCTTTGAGATATACATCTGAGATTTGTGCCTCCGCCCAAGTGCAATGGGCTTTGCTAGGATTTTGTTTCCAGTGTACACAGTATTTAAAACAGGGGTGGCCAATTCCAGTCCTTGAGGGGCGCTGTCCTGCTTGTAACTATCCCTGCCTGACCTGCTGCTGATTACCTGGCTCAGGTATGTTCAGTCAGTCAGAAGCTGGAAGATACCATCTTAGATGAAAGTGGAGTGAGGAAAGATAAAGTGAATTGGTATCTTCCAGCTTCTGACTGAACACACATGAGCCGGGTAATCAGCAGCAGGTCAGGCAGGGATAGTTGGAAAACAAGCAGGACAGCGGCCCTCGAGGACTGGAATTGGCCACCCCTGATTTAGAAAGTACATTTTTAAAAAACCTAAAGAAAACTTTCTCTCCATTTGATGGCCGTCACCCTGGCTAATCCACAGAACCCACAGCAGACAGTCTTCATAGGGGCTACTCGTTTGGAAGACAGTAGTTAGAGCTGAAGGTGTTCACAGCTCAGATGTGTGGACTGTCCCGACTGTCTGACAGTGTTTCTGGAAAGAGTTTTTCCTGCATAATTCTAATAAGGCTACACCAGAAACAAGATCCCATTTACCCCCAGTGCACTGGGCTAAAGGCAGAAATCTCAAAGACGGATATAGTCCCAGCAGATTTTGATTTGATTTATTCTTTCAAGCATATAAAACAGTTGATATAACAACACACATTTTTACACACAATCCAATATCAATTTGCTTATACCTAGTACGTGCTTGAATGGAGTAGGAAGAAGTCAGACTTATCCAGTCCTACCCCATGACATCATCTTACATTGGTTTGCAAGCAATAAATGATTCACTTCTACACACACACATATTATACTAAAAAAGAATATAACAGTGTTAACATTCTTACATCACACAAGTGATATACTAAAGAATGGTTACAAAATATACACCACACCCACAATGTTCCATCTAATTTATCATTGAGCCTGTTCTTGCATATATCTTGATTGACACATACCTTTATATTTATGTTGGTGTGATCCCTGTACCCCATCTTATGCACAATTCTTATCGCTCTTTTTTTTAATATATACAATGGTTGAAGTGAGCTTTTGTATGTATTTCCCCAGTTTTCAACACCATACTTTATATTCAATTGAAATTCATTGTCTAGTCTACGATTCCCAAATACCATAAATTTAGTTTTATCCAAATTCAGAGATACTATATTACTGTCACACCATTTCTTTATCTTCTCAAATTCCTCTGAAACCCATCCAGATAGTTGCTGTAGGTTTTCACCCGATGCCCATATGGTAGTGCCATCACCAAACAAAACTACTTTCACTAAATCAGAAACCTTGCATATATCATTAATATATAGCATAAATAATTTAGGTCCCAAAACAGAACCCTGAGGCACTCCACATACAATGTAAAATAGTTAGTAAAAAAAAAAAAAATTCCCAACCTCCGGCTCAGAGGTTGAATATATAATAGTAAAGGAGGGTTGTCTTGTGAGTCCCTGTGGTGGGAAGATACCATGCTAGATTTTTACCAAATAAATAATCCCTGTGAAAACCGCTGGTCAAATAAAACCAAAACTCTCTGCATGACTAGATACCTAATGATGGTTTCTAACATTGTGAGAATCAGACACACGTAATTTAAAAACATTTTAATTTTATTCAAAGGTGAAATTCATATTCCATTTTTCACAGGTCATTGCATAATGTATAGATTACACGTGACATCTGTGCTGCCAGGGTTAGGGGTCTGATTCCCAGGGGGAACAACTGGAATAAAAATGTAAAAAACAAAAAAATGATTTTAAAAGGAATAGTTGAGCATCTCCCTTCTCTGTCTCCTAGAGCCTCCATTCCCTGAAGGTGATCCACTGGCCATGGCTGTGGAGGCGACCAGCATAACTCTAACCTGCACTGAGACCTCGTCCATCCCCCCTGCAAACACCACATGGAGGAAGGGGCTCCAGCAGGAGGAAATTGTATCCGGATCAAAGTACGTCCTGTCTGTGGAAGGCCCCAACTTCAAACTGACCATATTCAACATCAGTAAGGACGACGAAGGCGTCTACTTCTGCCGCAGCGAGAATGTCCTCGCCGTCAGCGAGCTGGAAGTCTACCTCACTGTGAAGCGTGAGTCTGGAATGAGTGGAAGGGTTTGGGGTTGCAAGATGGTCACATGTACACTACCAGTCAAAAGTTTGGACACTTTCCCATTCAGTTCACTGGGAAAGTGTACAATTTGCATTTGTAAGTGCCTTGAGAGAGAATAACTATTTAAAGAGAAGAAGAAATAAAGACAATTTTTATTGTCAGAAGGATTGATGAATGCTTTACGAGTTGAACAAAGTTTTATTACATATGAACGGGCCATGGATTGAAACAAAAGGCCGTCACTGCAGGTGTCGACTCCACCTCTGGAATGCTGCTGAACATGCTGCTCCTCCCAGTTTCTGATTCTTTTTCTCCTGCCGTCTTGTTTTGTCTCCACAGCTTCCTCTGTAAACACGGGAGTGATCATCGGTATCTTTATAGCTGCACTGATCGTAGGAGCGGCCGCCGTTGTAGCTAAAACCGTTTACTCCAGCCGACACCAGATTTGCCTGGGTAACTTTCACCTATACCAAATAGGCACCAGAGCCACAAATGAATGCAACATATGACTCTGCACTAGTCAGGAGCATTCTTTGTACACATTAAAAATTTTATAAACTGTATTTGTTCACTCACAAAAGTATAAATGGTAAAAATTCACTAATTCTAATTGCACAATTTCTGTTCATATGTTTTGTTTCAGGAGGTGGCTTTGGGTGAGTCTCTAACAATTATCTAATATACAGTGCATGCATTTAAAGATTTTTTTTGTGCTCAAATCCATTAAATTAGTGTGATTAAAAACAGTTACTGTCTGCTGAAATCTTGGTTTATGTTGTCTTGTTCAGTGGCAGTAAACACCAAATTTTCAAGTCTTTGATAAACATGTTTCATGCGTTTTCTTCCTCCATAAAGGTTTTGCTGAGCAGATTTTTGATGATATGTAGCAGTACACTGTAATCAAGTCTCTGTGCATCACATTGCCTGGTTCCTGATCTTCTGGTGCATTCTAATTTTATATTAATGTTCCTGCTCTCTAGACAAGTGGACGACGACGGAGGCGATGTGCTGAATCTGGTGGAGTCCGACGACGAGCAGATCTTTCAGGATACAGTTCCCCAGCTGCCTCCATTAACCAATGGATGCCACACAACCCTTGTCCAGATACATCGGATCCCGTCAAATAGTACGCCCTCATCGTGGCAGTTTTACTTCGTTTCACAGTTTGGAAACCACTTGTACTGTATGTAATGTAAAATGCCCCCTTTTTTAGGTGATCACGAGGAGGCAGAAACTGTTGACACAAGTCCACAGCAACAGGAAGATACTGTCCAGACAGAAGAGCCAGTGGATCTTGTATCATTTTAGATGTGTGTTTTAGACAGGTGGTTTATTTTAGGTAAGTACCTTTTACCTCCACTGAGAATGTGAACTGGACTTGGGGGGAGGTGTCTATGAAAACAGTGCTTTCATTGTTTTTGTTTTTTTTTTTATCTGTTTTTTGAATTTTTGTATGCTCTTTTCTATGTTTGTTTTAATTGTACATTATTTTCAACATGTTGCTCTGATATTATTGAGATTAATGGAGTAAATGATGCTGTTTAAATAAAATGTGACTGTTGGAGTCTTGTTGTGCGCTGGGAAAATGGCTTTGACCATTCATACCATACATGCATCTCCACCCTGTATTATACAGATCACACTACTGTATGTCTGTCTTGGTCTAGAGTGTAACTCTAGATTTGAGGCGTTTAAAAAATGTGGTGCGGTCGGATTGTTTCTCATCTTACATGCATGTAAGATGAGAACCCAACCAAAATGCAGTTTTCACTTGTTCATAAAATTATTTGAGTCCAGTGATGTTTATCTGAGATCTGGTGAGAGCGATATACCTCCTGACTTTTGACTCTTTATCAGTATTACTAATATAACAAGACTTGGGGCATGGCTTTGTAAATATTTAAACTAGAGACTAGTGATACGACCTGAGTGTACATGACTGCTAAGCTGCACACAAACATGGAGTCATGCACTAAGTTAGCAGAAACATGTAGCTCTGCCATTATTAGACATAATCAGTTACCGCATTTATAGAAAAATATTTAGAAATACTGTGTATTTATTATTTGTTCACTTATTTTCCACACAAAAATAAAACATTTCCTGATCCCAGCTCTAAAGTGATGCTTTTCTTTGTCTGAACTGACAAAACAACCAATTTGCAGACATCACGCTGGACTTCTTGAAACTCTAAAGGACGTTTTGTATACAACATAGTTAAACTCAGATTAATTGACAAAAATAATGATTTAATGATTTTTTTAAATAAAAATAATTACAATATAGGTCAAAATGTAAATTTTAAGGAGCTGTGGTTTGAGGCAGTAGAGAATATAACTTAATTATCAAGATTTTTGAGTTGGTTTCTAAAGTCCGAGAGTTGAGGGTGTCGTGATAATGGTTTGAGGATTATCTGGAGTTCGGTCTGACATTTCGACGTGTTTTATATATTATTTCCTTGCATAAACAAAGTAGAACAACCTTTTGACAGCCACATCACTGGACTGTTCTCGTGACCTGTGCGGAAGCCAACGTGCGTTAAAATATAAACAGTGGGCGTGGCCATGACTTTGTGGAGTTACGTAATACAGAAACGTCGCTACGTTGGGTAATCCTGTACCCAGAGGTTCAAAGTGACTCAGACGACAGTAGAACATTCTGTTTCCAACACTGTGCACACAAACGCCGTATGACAGGAAGATTGGAGTCCCGGTTGTCTCCGGACGCTGTCTGCGTCTACGGCTGGAGTCACACGGGGTGACTGCTTCAGGAAGTCGGCGATAAAGCGAAGAATGTGGAGAAGAACATGATGTGCTCCACAGAAAACAACGCAGAGCCACAGAACACATGTAAGTCCCGTATTTCTGGAGAATTCTCGAGCTCGGTCTTGTCATCGCAACGCTCGGTCACCAGGCAGCGGGGTGTGGAGGAAACCAGGCGGGGAACCTGCTGCTGCCAGAGTCCGTGGAGGGTGAACCTGTCAACCGTTTGATTTATGCTGCCTTTCCGTCTTTTTCCAGCGTCCGACCCGGCTCTCATCCTGGAGCTGCAGACCAGGCGGCCTCCGTCCCTCATGGGCCGGCCGGGATGTGAGAGCTGGAGCGTGGACTTCTCCCCGGACGGAGCCTGGTTCGCCTGGTCCATGGGACACGGGATCGTCTGGGTGGTCGCCTGGCCTCTCGACTCACTGTAGGTGATCTACGTGTACATTAATGAAAGTAAGAGTAGAGGAGATGTGGGGAAAATCGGGCCACAATGGAAGAAATCAACACTGGTCGGTTTAGGAGACATAGTTTATATCCCTCTATGCATCATCACAGTCTCCAGTATCATCTGTGTGGCGTTCAAAGCCGCTGCAGGCAGGTGATGAATGAAAGGACAAAACCTGATGTGGCCTCTTCCAGGATGACAGTGCCTCCATCTGCAGGGCAGAGGGGTCACTGGATGGTTTGTGGTGGTGTGGCCTTCACAGTCACCAGATCTTATGGACCGACAGGTTAGACAGCATCTCCACCACCATTGTCCAAACACTAAATGAGGGAATAGCTTTTAGTAGAATGGTGTTCGTCCCCCCAGTAGAGGTCAGAGACTTGGGGAATCAAAGCTAAGGCGCACATGGTGGCCCAGCACCTTACTTAGACACATTGTTGGTTTTTAATTTTATTTGCCACCTGTGTATCTTCTGTATCAAACAAGTGGTGCCTTTAGGATTGACTGCCCACGACCTAGCTTTCTGAAATCACGGGCCTGAGCATCTACTACTTTGGCTGTACCATTAATGCAGATTTTAATCCATGATTTCAGCAGAAGAAGGAAAGTTTTCCTTTTCACAGCAGCTCCCCATTTTCACTAGGTACAACAACATATTGCCAACCTTTGCTACTGGACATTTGTCAATAGGCAGTCCTGTGGGTTCCTTTCAGTTGGTACTTTGGTTTGACAGCCCCCGTTACACCAGCCCATAGTAACAATAACCTGTAGTAGTAGCAATGTTCTATGCATCACTACAGATGGGTGTTATATGCTCCCTCTCGTGTTCCATTTAATAAAAAAGATAAATAACTCAGCAATGTAACCACACTGTTTGGTTGCTTCCATCTGTTATAATTGTGATTGTAACATTTCCGACACCACTTAAAGGCAGCATCATTTAATCACCAACTCCACCTTCCCACCGCCTACATGGGCGTCTTTCATGGTACTGTATCTGCATAGTCGATGCGCTTCTCGCCCACAGAGACGGTGAGAATGGAGAGACTGACCGAGGAGACAAGAGCTTCAGCTGTGGTCACCCAGTGTGGGGCCTCGCCTTCGGACCCAGGCCTCCAAAATCAGCTTCAGTGGCACAGCCAACTAAAACACTATCAAAAGGAAACAACGCCCTGCTTCTAGCCACAGGCTTGGAGAACGGGGTGATCAAAATCTGGAATGTCTTAACAGGTGAGATCTGAGGATGTGTTCAGAAATAAAATCTCTTAAGATGATTTTTAAATTGCTTTTTATGCGTTGAATAGGTGATGCTGTATTTGATCTCCACGGCCACGAAGGCGTGGTGAGGAACCTGGTCTTCCCTCAGAATGGGACTCTGACTCTCATATCATCTTCTCGGGACAAGACTTTGAGAATTTGGGACCTGACTCAGAAAGGTGTGTGTTAACTCGACACTTCTTTAGCAGCGAAATCCTTAAGACAATCTCATTTTCAGCTTTTCAGGAGAGTCATGTTTTCAACTCCTCTTCCTCCTCCTTCAGTTATTTGTTTATTTTTATTTATTTTTTGCTCTGTCTGTAGGTAAAAAGGTGCAGGTGCTTTCTGGACACAAAGACTGGATCAGCTGCTGCTGTGTGTCATCGGACTGCAGCATGATTGCGTCTGTTGGCAGATTTGACAGAGTAAGTTACATTATTGTAAGTTATAAAAGCATAGAATCACATTAGCAGTGCTTAAAGACAGTATTTTACTTTTGCGCATGTTGTTTTTATATACTATTTCTGTGTATAGACAAAACTACAGTTCTTCTTAGTGTCTAAAATCTCAGAGGGGTTTCCTTGCTAGTCTTATGATCGCATAATGGAGCTGTCCAGGAAAACGAGGGGAGGGGGAATCTGCCTCTACATAAATACTTCTTTACTTTCTGTTCTCTCAGCCTTATATTGTTTACTTGACACATTGAGAGCTGCTGTACCAGAGTCAAAATCTTCGTGTGTACAACACACCTGGTTGATAAAAGCTGATTCTGATTCTGAATGAATGGAGGATTTCTGCTTTTAGAAGCTCCTGTTTTTCTGGTAATCAAAGTAGCATTCCTCTTGCTTGTTAATAGTTTTGGAAGATTGTGTTTGCATTTATTTGATGGCTTTTGACAGGTGCGTATCAACCTAGTATGGGTTTAATTTAGCCTGTTAGTGCGTTGTCTGTCGCTCCTGAACGTGGATGGGTCAGTTTATCTTCAGCTGCTTCAGTGAGACTGAATCAGTCTGATTCTCTGCTCGACTTGTCTTCCTTACTCCTGGCAAACTGCACATTTGACATGCTCTCATTTGAAAAGACAAGCGAGCAGTTTAACAATGTGTAATGCCAGAATTTAAAATTACAGTTGCACCTTAAAATGTTTTGCATGTTTCAGCCTGTCCTGTTGACACTGAGGGAGTCACAGTGTTACTGAGAATCAAATGACCAGATTGTTTAGCATTTTACAGCGTCTGTGGGCCACAGGGCACAATGACTTTAAACCTTGACTAAATCCCATCTGCACAATTATTTTCCAAAAAAAGGAAGTTCTGCCGACTCATTAAACCCTTCCTGATTTCACCCTCATCAGATGGTGTGTCTGTGGAGTCTACGGTCGTATACGTTCATTAGGACCCTGACAGGCGGGACCCATAAGACCTTGCACCTCCTGTCTTCCTGTGACTTCTCTCCTGACGGGGCGCTGCTCGCCACCGCCGCCTTCAGCGGCTCCAGCTGGTGGATTGACCTCTGGGACCCATACACGGCAGAAAAACTGACCACTCTGGTGTGAGTGTACCATTCAGCCGCAAAAGTGACCAAATGTTTGGTGCTGTAACTGAAAGACGAGCACATACATAAAGCCTCTTAGCACAGCTAAGTGACCACGGGCAGCAAATGGATCTGCAACTGCACTTTTTTGATACATATGACAGCAATAAATATATTTACTACTGTAGGTAAATAGTTTCTTATTCAGAACTTGATTTTCCATTTGTTTTGTAGTTTTTATTTTCCTCCAATTTGAAGCCGGGGATCAAACACATCCTCTGTCACTGTTGAAGTGCTGCCTGACAGGATGTCCTGAGTCTTCTGTAGTCTGTGTTTGTCTTCTTGTTCGTTTGGTATATAATGTGAAACTTAACAAGCCATGATGACATTAAGAATTTCTGACCTCTGGCTACTTAGGATGGAAAAGTATGAACTTGGCAAACTCTTTCCACAGTGACTACTTTGAAGATTATGGGCAAAACCAAATCTCAGCGATACAGTTCTCTCCCAGCGGTTTGCACTTGGCGATTGTGACTGACGACAGGTGAGCACTTTGTCATTTCAATCACAGAAGTCTTGTAGAATATCAGTTACTTATGTGAGAGGATGCTTTCCTGCACCAGATAAATAGTTTCTGTTGTGTTTGCAGAGCTCTTCGCATTTGGGAGCTGGGAAAGAAAGACATGGTGATGCAGACGAAAGCAGACAGAGATTCTAATGGGCTCTGCTGCAAGTACCACCCACAAGGGGGAGCGGTCGCCACTGGGTAAAGATCCTCATGCATTAAAAGACCACTAATCTCTGGAGTGTCACAAAGCTGCTAAGTCTTTGTAGACTTAAGATGGCTTTTAAAAAGTTTGCAGCGTGCTTCTGTGTGACAGAGGCTGTGTTTAGCTTGAATTGTAGTGATAGTGTGAAAAAACATCAGGAACATCTGAAACTGCTCCCACAACATAATGCACTTCTCTGCTCTCCTTCCAGATATTTACCAGGACATGAATTTAAAACTAATGGACTAAGAATTCACTATTTTTAAAGGCAGCTAGTTTGTGGAATAACTTATTATATTTGCTTTTGATTTGCTTTCCTGTAAATTCCCTTGGGTAGTTGATCGATCTAAACGAATCTGAAGACACTACTCGGTCTCTCGGAACATGTCATTAAACGATTTCTCTTTTTTGACATTTTAAGAAAGTTTATTAATAAACAATCAGTAGATATTATGATAAATGGTTTGTCCACATCAGAGTGGCTTCTTCCTGCTTGTCCACTTTCTTAACTAGTAGAGGATGAAAATCAAATCCCTTTAGTTGCCCCTTCTAAATTAACTACCCTCTTTATAAAATTCCAATTAAATTGGTAATATGGTGGTTGACATCACAAGCAATGGGAAAAAGGCATTTACACCTCTTTGACAACATATCACATTTAATTGAAAAATAAACACACCAAGCAACTGAGCAGAGGTTTGACCCGGAGTAGATTTTTGGGGGTAGGTTGCAACTAAATGTCATGGTCTCTGTCACCTGCACAAACTAGGGAATTGCACTGCAAATACTATTTCATATTCAGCCTTTTGTATTTTGCCTTTCTGTTGTTCTAAAATTTCAGGTCCTTTTACAGCAGCTCCAGCAATTTTCAGTGTGAGCAAGATTGAGCCTTTTTCTAAGATGCACGTGTTTTCTTAAGCTCTGTGCCGCTAACCATGAAAGTCTCCCTGTCCCGTCAGAACCAGAGACGGCTACGTGAGGTTCTGGAGGGCACCCAGGACCGTACCCAGCCTGTGCCACCTGTGCCGATCCGTCCTGCGACACTCGGTCTCCACACACCAGATCGAGCCACTTCCTCTCCCCAAAAGGATCCTCAAATACCTCACCTACAGAAACATCCCCAAACACCTCAAGACCTGCTGCTCCTCAGAGGAAGTGGTGTTGGAAGGTCAACTATAAACAATGCAACAACATATTCACCATCTCAAAATTTTATTTGCTGGGTTCAAAGCTTGATTTAGCACAGGGCGCACCTCTTAATGTAATCGACTTTAGATGCAGCATTCCAACCTGCGGATCTCATTTATTGCACTACTACTGTAAGAACACTTATACCCAACGTTTACATGTTTAGTTGAATGTCTGTTTTATACTATTGTTAATTTGTGTAAATATTGAGTAAGTATTTCTAAATCCTGTTTATAATCATAAACAGTGCAAGCACTGCTACTGTAGCTGTATATGTTAATATAAGACAACAAACTGGACTTGTAGGAAAATGTTTTATTAAACAGATTCAAATGTATATGTCAAGTCTTATTCTTCCACAAAGGATGGACAGGTGACGGTTATATACAAATGGAAAAGCAGTGTAGGATCAATTCATTAAGTGCCCAGAGGATGGATATTTTAGGTGGTAAATCTAGAAATGACTGCCTTATGTTTTGTTCAGTTTGTATGCAGGTCAGTGACTCAGATAGCCCCTGTCTATGATTGCACACCACAACCACATGGAGGGAAAAAACTGTGAACCCTGAACACGTCCAGAAAGGACCTGGGACCCAACAGAACTTTGGCCATACTGTTTAAAGGACTGTTTTCTCTTTTCAAGGAGATACCACCTGAATTCCAGAGGGAGCAGGGTGTGATTTTTTTCCCTGGTGTAAAACAAATGACTGTGGCCATGTTGTTGGAAAATGTTCTCTTCACATGGCTGCGGCTAAGATCCAAGAGACTGAATTTCACTGTGGGGTAAAGTGGTTGATCTAAGAGGCCTCCCTGACCACCAGGTCCCTCACTGCCTGGAACGCTGCAACCATGGAGCTCAGCTGGATCTTCTCGTTGGTTCCTGAGGCGAGCCGGTGTCTAAGAGGACACGACACCAGGTGAGTCCAGAAACAAAAAACATCTGTGTGCCTATTTGTATCTAACATCAGCTTATGCGTGATCTCACTTACTCTATGTCGGCCAATTTGATGAGCAGACCAATCCGAATAGCTGGAGGAAAGTCAACTTGAAGGGGGGAAAGAAATATATAATTCACATACTTGTCCAGTACAAAATGATTGAATGACTGAAGTTGCAAAAGGTTAATGAACAGATACTGATGTAATAAAGAAACTGTTAAGAAATAATGGAACTCATCTTTAACCTTAGTCAACAGTAAAAAGAGAATCATCATTCTTAGTCATTTTAATTTGGGTCAAGTTAAACACTAAGAACATCGACACAGTACCTGGTTTAAAACGGTAAGTCCTTTTCCCGCAGAGAAATCGCTGATACAGTACATTTCTAATAGTGCTGCTGTCTGTGGCGTCCCTTACCTCTGTGTATGAGCAAATGAACCTCGGTGAGGATATCGTGCAGGGCCAAGCCTTTCAGAGTCTTAAGCTGAAGGATTTCTGTGAAGGTGTTAAGGACGTGCAAGAACACGAGGTAATGTGTGTGTTATTAAGCTGATCAAATCCCACAACACTGTACTAATGATCTTTTAGCAACAGGTAGCTTCTAAGAAAGAACAGTGTTGAGTGTACAGCACCCTCTGATTCACATTTTACAAGATGGAGAACAGCTGCTAGGTTCAGTGGAGCGTAAATAAAAACAGGTGATTCTACAGGTGGAGGATACGGTTGTAGGCTGCGGTGAAGTCTTTGTTGAGGGACCAGTCCAGGATGTTGGCAATGTCTGAGCGGAGGGGGTGGCCTGTGCAGGTGTACACTGTGTCCTCTGTCACTTTTCCATATGCCATACTGGTGCTCTAAAAGTCAGAGATGCAATACAGTCTTCTGCTGTGATACTGTGTTCTACAACATAACATGAATTAAAAACATTAAAATATCAAGTGAGTGTTGACACAACACCACAAGGCACTGGGAGCGTGGCTGTACCTGCAGAATGTTGAGCGATCTTCTCATATCTCCTGATGACAAAGTCACGACAGCCTTCAATCCATCTGGAGTTACGTCAATACTGCAACAAAACAGATGTAGTCAATCAAATCAACACAGAACTGTGCTACATTTGTGTATATGTATATAACAGAACAATATTTAAACACGTCTGCTGTAATGCATCAGCAATTGTAAAATGTTTTCATAAATACCAAAGACAAATGACATCATAATGAAAATGACTGTGTCCTTTGATTTCACTCGGTGGTTACTGATATAATTAAATCAAAAAATTCTCACTGTTGCAAGAATAAATCAACCTTTAAATGCCTCCTACCTCAAAGTGTTTTAACATGTGGATGAAACATTCACATACTCACTTCTCCTGCTGGATTACATGCTCTAATCGAGGGATCATCTGATCCGGGGACAGCGGGCCGAAGCGAAACCTGGTGCAACGGGACTGCAGGGCTGGGATGATCTTGGACAGGTAGTTGCAGATCATACAGAATCGAGTGTTTTCTGTGAACTTCTCAATCACTGAGGGGAAGGAGAGCAGGAGAAACCATATGTGGAAACCAGTGTTACATATAGACACTCTGCTCACTGTCCTCTCTCCAACTGCTGTGGAGGCGCCCAAGTAATTAAAATGACTTTTGCTGACAACATCCACAGATCTTCAGATAGATATTGGCTTTTAAAATGAATATCAGTGTGTAACAAGCAGATACCCTGTGATCCACCAGCAGCCAAACTGTCTGGCTGCTCAGTGAGCCATGTAGCTCACAGCAGGCCACGCCCTACCAAACAGATGGCTTACCTCGCCGCAATGCATTCTGGGCATCCTGGGTCATGGCATCAGCCTCATCCAGTATCACTAACTTGAAGCCCTTCCTGAGGACAAGAGGGACAGACAAAAAGGCAGCAGTTTAAATAATTTCCCATGTAGCTATGTAGTACATGTAAGTGCATTAAGGACATTAATGTGTAAAAAGAAGGTACGTGACAAGTGTTGTAGATGGAGTTTTAATCTTACTTGAAGATAGTTCTCGTACTGGCAAAACTCAGAATGGGCCCTCGTACAACATCAATACCTCTGTCATCTGACGCATTTAGCTACAAACAAAATGATGAAAATATCAAATCAGAGAGCCACAAGGCCTTGTCTCTAAAAAGCTGAAGCCTTCGCACCCCAGTACAACACCAGCTTTTGTAATCAGGAGTTGCAGCGTACCTCCAACACCATGGAGTTGAACTCTTTGCCCTTGTACAGCTGCTTGGCACACGCAAGGATGGTGGAGGTTTTTCCTGTTCCAGGGGGGCCATAGAACAGCAGGTGGGGAAGCTTGTCCTCGTTGATAAACCTCTGGACTGAAAAGGTAAAAAAAAAGTTTAAAAGGCACTATTTCATTTTAGACATCAGGAAATTTTTGAAACCTGTTTTTTTGTACTGTTAACTCATGATGGTTCTTACAATACAGACTAAAAAACACTGACAGAGAAGGGAAAGTTATCCCTAACCCTGTATTCATTCTGACAGTTCACATACTTACTGGTGCTCAGAATATCTTTGTGTGAGATCAGGTCATCAAGTGTCTGTGGTCTGTATTTTTCAACCCTAGAATATGGAGCACACTGTCAATCACGACAATCAATTCTCAGATATAACTAGAGCTTGCTACGATTTGAGTAATCAGTGTGCCACAGGACTGATTCATTTCACACAACTAACTCAAAATTACATACAACTGTGTGAAATCCGTAATGCATCATACTGATGTAAACTACAGAACAAACTCAATTACCAATAGGTTTTGGGATATACAGTATATGATCAACAATATCTGGCTAACGTTAGAGACTTAGTTGGAGCCACTTTTCAATTTGGCGTCTATATTTTTCCCTTCCTTGCACCAGTACATTCAATAAAATGTTCAGTTCCTATTCAGCGCACGCTGCAGCATTTCCGATAATCAAGTTGGTTCTAACAGTAACGAGGCGATGCTTGATGTATTATGTAGCCAACATGTACGCCGAATTAAAGAGCTTACATAGCTCCAGAATACATGCATAACAAATATTAACATGTTGTTGATACCAGCCAGGTAAACTGACATTAGCACACAGCGGACAGAAACCTAGTTGCATACAGCGACTAAAGTTAGCTGCTAAATTATCTTGAATCCATGGAAGGCAGATTAGCTGGCTAGCACCATTTTAGCTATCTTAAAACGACTTTAAACCCACCAAGGTAAATTTCTGGCCTGTGACGGCGCTTTGTCTGTAGAAGCCATTAGTCCCGTTAACTGAATTTAAGTCCAAGCAGGGTTAAAAAGCAGTTCTAAGCACTTCCACTCTACTTTTGCTAATAATTGCTGTGTTTGGCGCTCTCCACAACAAAGTGTGCGTCAATCGTCACGACGTACAACCAATCGGAGGGCTCCAATGGGAAGCGTCTTGATGGCATAATTGCACATGCTCACTGTAAAAAGTATGTGTCATAAACATAGACTACATAAGTATTTATAGCCTATATATATATTTATATACAGACTATGGGTATAAACATTGCAACATTGGAAGGTATTTTAAAAAGTATATACAACGCATGCACATATTTTTGGCTTGTAAACACATTTCTGAAACAGATGCACACTTGAAAACATCTAATAGAGGCTAATGTTGTTATAATAAAAAAAAAAACTTTAACCAAGAGTTTAATTCAATATGCCATTCTCTCTCTACTGGCCATCCTTTTCAGCTGAGCTAGGCCCAATACTGGCTGACATCTCTGCAGGTGACACAGAGAAAATGTCATAAAAACTTCCCACCTGTGTGCTCCCCCTGCCTCATGAGAGATGACATTGTTGTACACAGTTCAGACCCCCTTCTGCTTGGATCATTCGCACCTACCTCTCACTCATTTAGCTAGACCAAAGTAAGATTTTTTTTGTTAATAATTGTATAAAGTTATTTACAAGATGATGTTTGATCACTGATATGGTCAGTTACTGTAGGTCTGTGTCATTTAGGGGAAACAAACCCAATTAATTCTCCTCTTAAACAAACATCACTTTACTCCAGTAAGACCCTTTTCACATTGGATTAATGATTGAATTTTCACATTACATTAAAATCATGTGAAAATGCAAGTTCAAGACACAAAAGAATCAAAAAACCTTAAGCTCAAGGCTTCATAGTCTAAATGATTGTTTTAGCCCCGTGTGTTACCTCTCATCAACCCGATCCAGTGACAGCAGGTGCAATTCTCAAATGATTCAAAAATAATGGCTCTTGCTTTTTGCTGTAATGACATGATAAAGACAGTGTTGCACAATCCTTGTCTCCTCTGCTGTAGAGATTATTTTCTTCTAACAATACTGTGATTAAATGATCAAATATGTAAATACTTAGCAGGAAGCATGACTGGCCTGTATTTGGAGTAGCCTGCTATTTCATCCACTACCTGACAGCAGTTGTTCCCTTCCTCTTTGGCTTGCTACTTCTTCAAATGGAGCAGTGGTGTTTGAGAGTGATTTTCCTCCTCAGACATCTCATTTGAAGACATTTTGAGGCCTGATGTGGTGAAAATATTCAGTGTTTCCAAAGAAAAAAGCTAAACGTATATTAAAACCTAAAAAATATATGTACTGTATATAATACATATACATACAATTTTGTGTGAGTAAAACACAATATTTCTAATCTCTTTACACTGCTTATGAGCCCTCAGATTGTATTTATCTATTTATTTCATGCTGGGCTCTCTTTTTGTTATTGATCACTATGATCACGATTTCTTTTGCGAGAGAGAGAAGTAAGAAAACATAAATGACAAGTAAGAAGAGAATACAAACAACAAAAACAATCACCTACTCTAAAATATCCCAAATTAAAAGGTAAAATACATCCAATTAAATAGAGCTTTTGTGTTTAAATGCTGCAGCCTATAAAATGACAACTAAAATAAAATCACTGCATATAAAAATAGATTTAAGGGGTGTGTGTAGGCTGCAGTGACTGTATGTGTGTAGGTGTCCAGTATATGAGTGTACACGTGTAGGTGGGTGTAGACATTATAATAGTCATACAGAGCCCCTCATCTTTCCTCCAAACATGTGTAAAGTGTTGGTGTGGTTCCTCATCCAGGCCTGGAGACTGTCTGAAGCAAGGAGCCCACTGCGTTTGGCGCTAATCTCGCGAGAGCGGCCCCTCACGGCAGTGCCTGGGCGATGCGATGCTTTTGCTGTTGCTGTGGGTTTGATTGACAGGAAACATGTCGGTGTGGTGGGAGCGAACCGGGATGCAGCTGCTGCCAAGGGAGACAGGGAGTACCTGCATCCAGTCCACACATCAGCACCTTTAAAAGCACCAGGCTTCCCCCCGATACGTCTGCTTATGATGTTCTGAACAGCTTCTCTTTTTTCAACATCCATCTGTAACGAAGGGGCACCCAATGGATGCTGTGGCAAACCGTGTAGACCCGCTCGGTATCTCCGTACTGTGTTTGATTTAGCCTACAAGCAGAGATACCTTGATGAAACAGCAGGAACTACGAGGACTGTTGTTGCAATGGAGTCGACTCTCTCACGGCTCAAATCCCGTCTGTAAACCTACAACCTCTCGTTTCATGGCGTTTTGCAGGTCGCTCTGATCCGTGGGTTTCTCCACGTTTCTTTTTTGAATTATTATTATTATTTTTTTAAGTGCAAAGGGAAAATAACGATCACTGCTCGCCAAATTATGAACGAGGAGATGACAAAAAGCGAGGAGCAGCATCTTAGTTTGCAGAAAGCCTTGCAGCAGTGCGAGTTGGTGCAAAATATGATAGACATAAGCATTTCTAGTTTGGAGGGTTTACGGACCAAATGTGCCACATCTAACGACTTGACACAAAAAGAGATACGAACGCTGGAGGTAAGCACCCTTTGAGCGGAATGACTGAATTTCTGCTGTGCATCTCCATCTGAATCAATACGGAGGGTTGTCACCGTTTGTCATGTTGTTCTAGGCCACTGTGCATATTTATTCTTTAGTGCCTTTTCCACGACAAACTGGTTTATTGTTGACGGTGTTGTCATAGCATAAATATGCAAAGGTTACTGCTCGCTGCTATCTGTTTTGTGCAGTGCAATAAATCAAGAGGCTACGGGGCTGCAGTGGGCTGTTATAGACTTGCGCATTCTGCAGGTGGCGAGGAGAGAAGGTGGCTCTTCTCCATCAGAATATCTGAGGCAGCTGAGGCCTATAGGCAGCTCGTGTTTACATGCCAGCCTGCGCATCTATCCTCGCCGCACATCCAGGCCCCGCCGTTATTCAAAGCAGCAGATAACTGAAATGTTACTAAATGTCGTTATCCGTTTAACCAGCCCGCGGGGTACGCTGGACATCGCGTTACATAATAACCCGGTGGTGTGTTGGAGATACCAGGCCATTCAAACCAGTGAAACAGCTCCTTGGCCAGCGACGTGCTGTTACAGGACATACAAATGCCATAAAGGTCACTGACAGCTCTCTGAGCAGCACAGACAGTGCACGGTAAGGATGTTACGGTGATGCCTCTTGGGATTAAAACAAACACCACTGGGCATGTAAGGTTGCCATAAAATCACCAATGTGTGTGCCATCAACACACTTTAAGTTCCACTATAAATATGATTGAAATATTAATTAAAATACCAAAAAAATAAAGTCAGGTGAATATGCAGCCTCATATGAATATGAGGCTGCATATGATAAACGATATAAACATATATATTCAGTGCTGTGCCTGAGCTGCTGCACGACAGGAGACAGGGATGCTATCCAAGAGGAGAGGGAACTAATATCAAGTATAAATGTCCTGCCTCTGCATCCTGCCAATGAACAGGCTACAGTGTGAAGATAAAAGTTCACTATGTTCCCCGAATGCCTTGCAAAGCATTGTGGGTATTGGATTATTGCTATAAACATTAAGAAGTACAGAGATATTCCTTTTATGTTACAATATATTCATATTAGCCTGATGGAATCTTTGTGAATGGATTTTAAAACTAAGATTTGCTGACTTTTTTGTTCAAACTGAACAACGAGATGGACAGGGTATAACTTACAAAATAAGACAAAAGTAATAAAAGTAGTATAATCAGAGGGGATTGTAACTTTTCATTTGGCTGAAGATGAACCTTTGTGGGTGGAGCATATCTCATCCTAAATGTATATTTATGTATGTATAAAAACGACAACGGCTTTATTAACATGTACAACAATGGTGCGCATTAGATGTTCCATTAAGATATTATCCTTTAAAAAGTGATAGCATTAGGACAAACTTGTGGAGTTGCAGCTGGGGTGTTTGCACTGCCATCCATGTGGTCAAGGACCACTAATGGTGCTGTAGACTGTGTTAATGAGCCAGTTTTGTTTGTATCAATTGTTCTAACAGACTGGCACACCACAAACATGAGGGGTGATGTGAAACACACTGACACTGTCTGCAGAGGGCAGAGGCAG